TAAATCAGATATCAAGATATTGCCTACATGTCAGTCGTAGGGCGGCGGGGTACCGACAGATCGTCGGCGACACAGAAAAAAGTCTGATGAAACACGCATGAATATGAATAAAGAAACGTTTTATTTTTTCTCCAAATAATCAAACATTTAAGTTCAGATAGGTGTCAAGTAGATCTGTAGTTTTCTTTTCCAGTCTATCGACGAAGAAAAGCAGCTATTTATTTGAAGGTTTACGTCTTACTTAATGGCCCAGGTAGTGATACGATGTTTCTAACATCAATTAAAATCACTTTTTAATCTTAATTTTATGCGATATCTTAAAATATTTATATTCTGTTATTCAGTTCTACTTTGAGAGAAAGGGCTCTTACGTAATGTATACCATTTTACACAACTCTGCTCATTTACAGATCTCTTCAGACGTCGCTATCTTAAAGATATATTATGGGGGATTAGATAAAGAGCTGGCAGTTCTCGCTATAATTTAGCGATTGTATTTTAGGCCTAGTCTCGATCATCATTACTAAAGTCGGTACGATAAAAAGTCTCGATTATTCATATTTTGATTTTACCATATCAATGAGCGTTGAGCAGCAGATCGGATTCCAAACCAGTAAACACCGAGAGTTGATTATGGTCTGGATAAGTTAATTAATATCTAATTAATAATTTAGATAACAATAGGCAGATTTAGCTCGTGCATAATGTATGTTTAAGAACTTTTATATTTTATAACTTTAATTTTCAATTTGTGATTTAAATGGTAAAACTGACCCCGGTTATCGAATCCTAGCCCATTTTGGAACATCGGGTATGACAAGCTTGTTTTACAAGGATAACACAAATCATATTGTTCGGTTTGTCATAGCGGGTAACCCTTGATGTCGAACTATCAGATGGGTAACCGATGCAAAAATCAAAGCGATTAAGCCATTGTCCAATCATGTTGTCTCAGAACAGATTAATCAATTTTAAGGAAATCGGAAATATTATTAGATTTATTTATATCACTGTATGGCCAGGTTCCTTAGTTTCCTTGCCAAACTGGGTACCGAGCCAAGCCACGACACCGGAAGAACACGGCGTTGGCCTTAATATGCAAATGTTTTTTTTTTATTTCAAGAACATAATAGTTTTGCCACCAACATGGAAAAGTTTTTTGTTCTCGTCCACTTCAAAATGTAAATAAAATTGTCAACTCTGGAATCAAAATGGATCGCATTTAAAGCTGGACGTATAGACATTTTTTTTTATTTTCTGAAATCTAATTAGATCATAGGTTCCTAACCTTTTATGGGTGGCGACCCCATTCCAGACCCAGGATCAGATCGCGACCCCTCGAAGAACAAAAGCACATTTTATTATGAAACATCATTATCATTCACTTTTATTATTGTTTACTTATTAAAAGTCCGATAACAAATTATTGATTTTTTTAATCAGTGTGATGGTTGCGCCTGTTTTTCAGCGACCAGGTTTTCAATGCGTGGCTCAACGCCACTCAGCGCGACAATCATCTCCCTTCTATTTCAAGCCGGTTCCTAAATTTTGTTTTTATCACAACCATTGTAGAAAACGACTGTTCGCATAGGTATGACGACGGGTACGACAAGAGGAGCCGTGTTGCATTCTTGGATAGACGTGGATAGGATTCAAGCATTTTGCACCAGTAACTGGACAAATGAAATGAAATGGGGTTTAACGTCCTACTGTTCTTCTCCGAACTGAGCTAATGAAGACGGCCATGCGCCATGTGTGCTATGAGGGAAATTTTGCCCGGACAGCGGCACTACGACTTACTCTTATATCGAATTCCAATTGTCAAGGGATCTTTTACGTGCACGCCAATGTGTACACCGGACTTCGGTTTTTCGTCCTATCCTCACGACTAGACAGCTTTCCTTGTCAGGCCCTCCGTCCTGCATCACTGACAAGGGGAAACCACGCCGGAAAATCTGGATGAACTTTCTCGGTCAATGCAGGGATCGAACACCCGACCTCCAGGCTAGCGAGCCAGCGTCTTACCCACTTAGCCACGTGATCCCCCGTAACTGGTCAAAGACAAGGACTTGTACAGTGATTTAGCTCCGGAATCCTGCTGCAGTCTCACGAGCTCCTCTTGAGCGATATGATCATCGGTGATGGCGTCTAATGGTGCACTGTATGGGTCTCGGACCATGGTGAATGACTGGACGTCGAGCTCGGGGAAGTAGTGTTCGAACTGATCGATCAGTGACTGAAGATGTTCAATAAATAGATAAGTTGAAAAACTCAAGGAAAAACAATCGAAACTGTTTTAGAGACTAGAGAAGTATTTATTTGCACGAAAATTGGCAGCGGCAAGTCTCTTCGTTTTGGAAATTTCCAGCAGCTTTGACACTGAACGAACCTTTAACTTTGCAACTCGATCATCACTGGTAGATATTTCAGTTGGAAAGCGCAAGACTTGGTATTCGCCGCGATGATATTTTCTATCGAGGAATCTGAGAGGTCTAGAGCTGCTTCTATACCAATCGAAATTAGTGACGAAAAAATGTAGATTGTAGAGTGTTACGTGAAGGCCTTGATAAGATGTACGGAATTAAAGCGAGATCAAGCCTTCTATTGAAGATGTATAGATAGATTACATCAAAAGATAGCATTTTTTTTTAAAGTTCTCAGACTCGTCCGCGACCCCACGAAAAGTGCTCGCGACCCAACTTGGGTCGCGACCCAGAGGTTGGGAAACGCCGAATTAGATGAATAAGTTTTCCATATTATTTTTTCAAACTTTTAGATATTTATCTTATATGAGATGAAAGAAACCAATTTTGGCAAGTTCTACTAATTTTGGAATATTTTTCTTTTTGTGCATGTTCTTTTTAATAACCCACTTGGTTAGTTAAAGTCGTTTACACCGGATCGTGGAAGTCAAAAGAATTACACAAGATTTCCTTGCCAAGCGAATACTTGCCCAGTGGGCCTTCAAATGACTTAAACCCCTCAAAGCAATAATTAGCTTAAATATACAGTAGATAATAACCACCACATGTAGCTCAAATTGTTTTCATATCAAATGAAAATAAAAAGTTGATGAACTGAAGTATAGCCGTTCTTTATAGTTTAACGTAGGGTGTAATATTCTAGTTACAGCACAAGGCTTAAGAATATTAAAATAAAGATATTAATATGGAATCAAACGTAATCACACATGTTGGTATTCACACTAGCATTTAGAACAACAAGAATTATCCTCTTTGAAATCAGCTGTAGTAATTGGAACCGTTACGCCTCAAGAAAATAACACTCAAAATGCGTTTAATGTGCTCGTAAGTGAAAAATGTGATGTTTGGAACATAATTGTAAGGGGTTATTTTGGCACATACCCGCCTCCACTCCCAAACATCATTAGTCTATTTCTTTTTTATAACTAAGTATGCCCATAATTCAGTACAGAATCTTTGGACTTTTTGCTCGCTCTTGAATTCCCCAAACCAAATTTCCCTGACGGTGCCCTCTCCCCATAATTTCGATAGGTTTTTTTTTTGTGACGGAACACATTTTACTTTCGGTCGGGGGGGGGGGGGGCTATATTGGAATTAGTTAGTGACGTGTCCGTAGACAATGAATACATTTTATTCATTTCATATTCCCGTTATAATTTTGACATTAAATTATAGAGCGCTACATGCGTAATGTGCACGATTAATTTTGCCAAGACAGTGATCCTGAACATTTACGCTACCATTAGAATCTTGAATGATGTACTTGAATCCGCGGGTTTCGCGTAATATTTGAGAATACTTCGTGTTAGTAAGCCTAAGTCATTCTCGCTTGCAATATAATAAATACGCCTCGTTGTGTGGACCAGAAGAACTTCCGGGATTTATTAAGTCCCGTTGCATCTGTCTGATTTAAATCCCGAGTGGTTTGTGTTTAATGTTGAGATAGAAAGAAAATATGTTAACCACCACGTTGGTACACACTTGCAGAATACTTATTGACGGTATGTGCAGACACCGCTTTCCTGAAAAAAGTTGTCTCCATAACATGGAACATTCACAGTGGACATACATAATAATAGCAGCTTATGTTAATTATGAAAAGACTAGGTCAAACATGCATTATGCAAGAGCTAAATCTACTTATTGCTGGTCTTTCTTTGCGCCTGAAATATTAATCAATTCTCGATGCCATCGTTAGCTTGCGATATTTACTGGATTTGAATACATTTTATCATGGATAATTTATCGTAAAAATGGATAATCGAGACTTTGTTATACCAACGTCAGTAATGACTATCCTAAAATTCAGTGGCTAATATCTTGTTTCAGAGTGAAGCAATTTGACTGAAATTTTCAGCATATTTTATTTTCATTATCCATTTCTGAACTATTATAGCGAGAAATTTCAGCTCTTTATCTAATCTTACCTAATGCCCCTTTAACTGTTTATGAGAAAATATACCCCATTTAATTTCTGTTAGGTCCAGATTTCCATCTCCTTGATATTAGAATAACAAAATAAAACTTTGATGTGGCTGCTGTACTGACTAACTGCGCAGTATGTTTGTATTTCATTTTGTTTTTTATGCCACAAAACATGTTACAAAACACTGTTTTATAATTTTAATTTAGCTCACTGATCATCATTATCAGAATGGACAAATAAAATACAGTTATATTACTACTACTATATTAAATTAGTGTTACTAGTAAAACCTTACAGTGTGTGATAGAATACAGGAAGTGGGAGAGAGAAATAGAGTTTAGCATTCACTCAATACTAACTAGGTCATTTTGGAACAAACATATGGAATATTTCCCTAATTTGCTTGAGAAGTTGAGGAAACTGTTCCCTAAAGACTCAACAATGTTAGACAATTTACTGTTGGTCACACATTTATGAATTATAGAACCACTTTACCAATCAACTCCCTAATTAGATAAAATTTTACCACAAAAAAAAATAAACTAATGTTTGAAATACCAAAATATAATTTATTTTAAATATTATATAAATAATATATGTACAAATGTATATAATTCATAATGCTAGGGAATACATCCGTCCTCTAAACTAGAGTACTAAGATAACAACAAAATATTTTTAAATTCAGTAATTTAAATTGCTTCAAAATACCAAAGATATCACAGGAGATTGTGAACTGGCTTAGAATAAGATCATCTTGATAAAGACATGTCAATTTCTCTGAAATAACAAAATTAGATAAAAGCATTATGCATTATAATTATGAGAATTAAAAACATACAACCCAGCAATTTGACCAGATTTGATATATGAAAAGGCAAATTCCTAAAAATAATCTTTTACACATTCCTTTCATGTACTGTAACATCTAAAATTAACGCGACAGGTCAGGGTCAACATAAAATGTGTATTGAAACCTACAGTACCACACTCTAACTGTTGTATACAGTAGCATTATCAAAAAATTATGTAATATATTTAATAATACATACCCTAGTTTTTGTTCAATATTTTGCCTTTGTTGTCGTAATAATAATAATAAATGATCATCAGGGTATTCCCCATCTGAAATGTATTCTTCTTCTTCTTCTTCATTATCTTCTTGCTCATTTTTATCATCTTCTATAATTAAAGTAAAATCTTCACCATTATAGCTCAATATAAAAATATAACAGTAAATTCATACCATATGGCACATTGTATTTGTAACAAAATGAATGGGTCTAAAAGTTAGCAATCAAAAAGAATCCTCCAAATCAAAAGTTTTTTTTTTTATTGGCAATTTAGATTTTACAAGAATTAATAAACAATCAGATTTGACTCTGTGATTTTCAATCAAAAAATTCAGAACTTCAATAGGCTTCTTTCATATAACCTCATGATAAATATCTTCAAACTTAATAACCCAATAAGAGCTCTGTAAGAGTATAAATATTGAACAAGTAATGGTAGTTCACCTTGGTATCTATTAGTTGTATTGTCATGTTGATCAAGACTATCATCATATGTGTTATCCTCCCTATGTCTTTCTGGTATAACAGATAACATTGATGACATGCTATCAACACTTGATACAACAGAACTACTTGATGTCGTAAATAAAAAATCTTTTACTGCCTGAAAATAATATATAACATGGCTATATACATTATAATATAACATAATTTATATATATATATTTTTTTGTTTTAGATCATAATTCTCATAGGTTTTTCAGTGCTGATATAACCTAAAAAAACCAACAGTGAGGCTGATGACCTCCGCTGAAATCCCAAAATAAAAGATGACACATATTGATTAATTACACATTTATCTTTTTCAAAAGTATTAAGCAATCAAACTGATTATCTATACTTAGTCTAAGCATAAAATGTTCTGAAGGTTTTGAAGTACCTGGTAGTGAAACTATACACTAAGTTTCATCACTCTCCATCAGTTATCTTGTCCCAAACCATCAACCAATGGATCTGCTTAGCTCTGCTTAGCTTTAGTGGGAAATGTTAATTATTGAACTCAGACCCCTAATGAACATCTACATCAAGTTTAAACATTTTATCTCAATTAAAATGAAGACAGGACTAATTAATACAAGCTGTTTATTATCCCATGGTGAGACTTACCTGACCAATGGCAGTTTTCACTGTTCCTTTAGATCTAGCAGGACTACTGGTATATTTAGGACGTATTACAGGTGAATTAGGTGGAGAACTAGCACTTTTTGAAGATCTACTGTTTCTTGTTTCATTATTAACTGTCTTAGTTTGTAATTCTTTATCAAATTCTTCTCGGAATTCAGGAGGTTGCGTTTGTTCAGTTTGTTCACTACTGGTTGGTTTAAAGTCTAAACTTTCTTCAACTGACTGAGTAATTTCAACATTAGATGGGGATGTCATATTTCTTTTGTCCTTCTCTTCATCTTTTTCATTCTTTCTCTCTAAATGAGGTTTTTCGGCCTCTAAGAATTGTTTGTATTGAGCACTTACATTATCTGAGGGATGAACTTCAAACCCATTCTCATCTTCCTTAAACATTATGTCATTATTTGAAAGCTGTTTTTGAAATTGTTTTTGATATTTCTGAGCGTGTGGACAGGGTAAAACATCACACATTAAATGAAGATGAGGTTCAACCATTTCGTCACTTCTTTTATTATAAAGTAAAGATGGACTAGCGACAGTTGGTTCATTGAGGACTGTCTGTCGTTTAGTTTGTTCAGATACAGATACTGGATCTTCTGATAATCTACTATTTGCCGGAAGCTGAATAAATAAATAAAAATTTAAAAAAGTAAAATTGAAACAATATTTCTAAACAATATTAGCAGTCCTTCACATTTACGAAATGGTGTGGGAGCCAAAAAAAAATTCCACCCATTTAAAAAATATGAAAAAAGCTCCTGTGAAAAAAAACCTTCTTAATTATATTGCAAGAGTAATTCTATATTTTCTTAAATTAAGGAGAGCAAAATGGTATTTATGCTTTAGTCTTGTCTCATATTCTCTTTATTATGTCATTTATATGTTTCACGAATTTTTGTCACTTTGATCACTTTGTCAGCGTGCTTAGCGTACAGTTTGCACAAATAACCAAACCGCTTTTACAAACTCATTCCGTCATTCCCGCAGATATTCTCCATTTTTTGCATTTTGATACTGTTCTCTTGAGTACCTCAGGGTTAACATGGCTGATGCTGACTAACAGCATTTTTAACTCTTCAGACAATGTTTCATACTTTTCAAACACTTGACACTAATTGTTACATAATTTACAGGATGCTTTCAATGTGTGTACTGCTAGACCCATTTCCTAGTCAGTACTACTGAATTTTGGCCAAACGAAACAGAAGCCAACAACACCTACCTCATTATCATAGGACTGTATTCTAGTTACAGGATTGGGTGTAAAATGAACAGACACTGGAATTTCTTTTGTTGTCAGTTTCTGTTGAAATTCTTTTAATTTGGAAGACACTTCCTGTAAATAAACATAGTAATATATTTACTCAAATAGACCTTGGTTAAATTCCTAAATTAACACACATGTACAGTAGCATTGTTTATTGCAGGCAAAAATTGTAATGCAATAATACAGAAAAATTGTCCTTTAAACAAATAATAAATAGTACATGAATATAGAACATACCAAAAATTGTCACAAGCAAAGTCCTTTACAATGATTTTTTTTTTTAGAACACTCAGATCTTTTGTTTTGAACAAGTTCAAATAAACATCATATGAAATTAAATTGCTGATAAAATATAGTCCTACATTCCACTTTCACAAACTACTGAATAAAAATTAAAATTAATTACAGATTTATTTTTAGCAATCATTTCAGCAGCACCCATCCTTGACAAATCCATTTTTCTCTGTAAACGCCACTGATATAAAATATCATCTTCTGGTCTAGTTATGGCAGGTACTGATCTCTTCTCACTTATATATGGTTTACCAGCTGGTTCTAAAAATAAATTCCACAAGGATTGAAACCACAGATATCATTTGGAACTTTTGTACCAATCAGTACCTGACTGTTTTGTTAATCAATTTAAAACAAGAAATTAAAGCAATCTCGAGAGAAGTCCAAATTCTGCTCAGTAAATAATAAATATAACATGTCAAAATTGTCACATAAAATTTAACAACGTTAATAGATAAAATAAAATAACCAATGGTGAGAAACTTGTATAGTATAATTAATATTGTTAAGAAGTGATAACATTATCTGGTATCTTACATTCTTAAACTTACAAAAAGTCACCCAGTCTCAATCATAGAAAAGAATAGGATACCCCTTTCACTATTAATTGTACAACACATTAATTTCCTGTATAGTGCTGAGTGGCTCTGGCTTATGTAAACTGTTTAAATCAGTGAATTTCCAGTGATACCTCAACAGATATAATACTAACAGTTAAAGAGAGCAATCAGTATATAAGGGAAATAACTCTTTTCTGTAAACTGAATAAAAAGCTGTTTTTTTTCTTTTTGGAATCTATTACCACCGAGCCAGCCGCTACCAACCCCAGAAGACCCCCCCCCCCCACCACACACATATATTCCTTTCCTAATATTGACATAATGTTATCATGTAAAAGATAATCAAGTATCTAGAAAATAAATGCATGTTATATTACCTGTACGTGTATATTTATTTGATAATAGTGATCTGGATGGTGGTTCGTAGGAACTAGTAGAACTATGTGATAATGAACTAGCTAGACCATCACTACTTATAGCCGGTTCAGCTTCATATGATTCAACACTACATGTACTTTCACTGTAATAATAAGTACCTTTAAATAAATCTCATATATATTTCAGTGAACAAAACTGAATAATTCTATTTGTAAGAAACTCGGTCCAAAGCAACTACCTGTTTAAGTATAATAACAGAAATCTACATACAAACAATATATAGAAACTATTTTTAGTTACCTTTGTGCCAAAATTCTGTCTGCTTTTTCTTGTAGTTTTTGTGTTTCATGGTCCTGGTGTGACCTGTAGTCTGTCTAAAATGAAAAAAGCATAGCATTTAGAGAGTTATCAAGCAGTGACCAAACCCATCTGTAGCTTTCAAGTTTTTAGGCACAATATCTATGCATAAAATTGATGGTCAGGTTTGAAATTCGATCTGACTCCTGCTTATTATATGATTAGCCAAAAAATCCCACCAAGTTTGGAAAAAATTCAATACACAACTTTAATTTCCACAGATTTCCTTATTAGAAGAAATTTCAAAAACTCTTATTGGTGTACTGTAGACAGCCAATATAAACACAGCTGGTCCAATTAGTAACGTATTTCAATTATGAATTACAGATAAGCAGAAAAGCTGTAACAGTCACCTTAAAGAAATAATCTATAAATTCTGCTAAACAAAAACACAGACAAACCAAAATGTCAAAGTCAATAGCAAAGGCTTCAACGGCATAAACAAATATAATGCAACAAATAGCAAAATTAACCTGAATGACAAGTTGAAAATAAAACTGTAATAGGAAGAATACTAACCATGGCACTATAAGATTTATCCGATCTATCTAGAAACTGACGACTTCTACTTCCATTGTCACTATCATCTCTAGGTGTTGAACTGCTAGTTGGTGTTAGAGGGTGCGAGGACAACCACCAAAAGTCTTTTTCGGTAGCTACACCTTTTTGATTTCTCTCTTCACGACTAGTTGGTGCTGAATGTCTAAATCTATTTATATAGCTAAATGCAGTAAAAATAAATGAATATGAACTTATTGCAAATGAATCAAAAATGAACCTAATACATCCTGACATGCAAATATATATATTCATTGTATACAGAGGTTTATTTGATTCTCTTCAAGATAAAGAGTTTATCGATAAATCTTGTCAATGATCTTGTTATCTTTAATTTATAATTTCACCAAACTGAATGAGAAGTACATATATTTATGAAGTCTTTTATATACTGTTTTATTTACTGATTAAAATCATCTATGGTAACAAATCTAATGTGGATTGTTTTCTTCTTATTGAGAATACACCACTTACAAGTAACTGTTTTCATACTGAAGGAAAGATCTGATTATTCGTTAACAGTTTGGTTTTTGATTATTGTAAATCGTTAGTACAGTGTCTTGTGTTTATCACACTTTGCTTCACGATGGTATCTGCAACTCTCTAGTTATTAATGTTTATTTAGTCATTGTTTGTCATGATGTCCCGGTTGGGATGGGGAAACCGATGGTATACACATTAAAGAACCCCTGGTAGATGGCCAAGAAAATTATGATGCGTTAGTCTTATAATGACCCAAGTATTTTGTTAACAAGAAGTTTAATCCCATTCAATGATACTGAAATGGTGTGGCATTATTTATATAGATTAGATTTGATGACTGAGATAGTTCTGGTTTATGAAGTCTTTACTAATAGTCTATTACTTGTTGTGTAAACCATAACAGCCTATATAGCCTATTACTTGTTGTGTAAACCGTATTAGCCTATAGTAGCCTATTACTTGTTGTGAAAACGGTAACAGCCTGTCATTTTGTATTTGGCTTTCTGTAGCATAACTCAAGAACTAACGTAAATTACACTGACAAAAGTATATCATACTAGTCTAAGTGCATGTTTGTTCATGAAGAAATTCCCCACATGCATCATAATAATACTACATGTATATGAGGCAGAACAAAATAATAAACATAGAGATGCAAATGCTTGTTAAATTCTGATTATTCATTAAATTGTATGACTATCACCTTTGATTACTTGGCTATTCAAATTCATTATACGTGTGAGCATTAGTATGTATTATTACCTCTGTAATACTGATTTGGTTTGTGTGGTTGAATCATGTTGGTTAATAACATCTGGTCCTTCTTTCATTGTATTTCTTTTGGTTACATCAAAACTACCGGTACTATTATTATCATAGCCAGATAAACTGAAAAATGATTTGTTGAGTGTTTACAAGGTTTCGGTGATAGTGACAGTAACTCTGCAAAACTTGTTGCACAACTATGAATTTTGATAAGTTTCCTCCTTAGAGCTACAATGAACAACCCCAGCAAGTCTGGAAAAAACCCTTGACCTGTAGTGTTTATAGAATTGTAGATGGACAGCAATGCCAACAATATACCCCACATAAAACATGCACATTTAAAACCAAATGTTAAATATATACAAAAAGCACATAATCAACACTTAATTTAAAGGCCTAGATAAATACAATCATGCTCTATATATTTACCTTGAAAATGAAGGTCTTTCACTACTAGGCCAGGATTCATCAAAATGCACTATTTCACTTTTATCTCTATCTCTGGTTGGTGGAGTACCATGTGAGAAAACATTACTTCCTTTCAAAAATAATTCGTCTTCTGGACTTATAGATCTCTCTTTGCTTGGACTTAGTGCTATCTAATGTGAACATTCAAATTAGAAAAATAAAATAGAAATTCTATGGCATTGTTCAGTATCATCAGATCATTTCTGTGTGAAAGGAATGATTATGCTTGTTACATGAAACCCATTATATATTGATTTTTATTTTGTTTATGATATTTGGGGGACCAAGTGGTCATGAGTGCTTTAGACCATATACCTCATTAGTCCCAAAATGGCATTGGAAATTAAAGCCTATTTCTTTATTCTAATAGCATTATTATAAATTACATCAATAAAGTGTCCATATGTGCTTTACAACACACCAATGAACTAAAAGTAACCACAGATACCAGTAAAAATAATAATACTCATATAAACCCCAAGATACTCAAACTTGTATCATATAATTTATAATGAAATTGAAAAGAAAACATAAAATTTCAACCTTTCTATCGGTTCTGGAAAGTTTCTTCTGTTGACTGGGATGGTAAAATGATTTAGGTAATGGTATTCTGGAAAATGGATCTCTGTAAACAGATGTTTGATCAGATTTTATCAGAGTCAAATAATTATGATGTGTAGAGTAGCGTACTCAACTACAAGCTTTTAAAAAACATAAGCAGATTTGCAGTGGACACAGTCAAGACTTATTTGCCTAAGTTCTGCTTTTGATTCATAATTAATGCAGCTTTTGGAGATTACAGTTGCGTTTTAAGGTGCACCTCCAATCTGCCATGAATGTGGTCTGATGATAAGGCTTTGACTTTTGGTCCGAATGAGCCATGGTCAGAATGAGCTTGGTTTCTCTGGTAAATGGTCAAAAATAACTACAATTACAGTGTAATTATAGTATACTCATATAGTGTGTATATACTACTCCTGGTTCTAATCTATAGTCGTATAGACTCTGAATATTGTACTCTAAGTACGAAAAATAAAAGAAAGGAATACACCTTTAAATTAGATTTTATCTATGCAAAATAAAGAGACAAATCTGACAAGCAACCGTGGACATAAAACACTCCTGATAATTTGAACTTTGCTTGAATTTTCGCTAATTTGATGAATCCAAGGTTGTGTTTGTATATTATTCAAAAGTAAATAAAATCTATTTCTTTGTCAATCTTACTAGACCTACTTACTACAGACAGCTGACAAATTATGAATAGATGGAAATAATTTTATTATTAATTATAATATAAGCATATAAAATAAAGCCTATCACTAAAGTTCAGAAAAAAACATATTACCAATACCTATTTGATGATGACTGGGTTTTCATATTGAAGTTTTTCTAATTTTAATGACAGTTTAATATTAAAAATAACAAGATCCAGCACGTTCACTTAATTTCTAAATCGGCGCCTCGACTCTCGTTCGTTGAGGGTACAAAAAGTGTATAACCAATTGAAAATAAGAATCGGAGGATTTATTGAACCGAAATCTCAATGCAATGTTTTCTTACAAATTCTAGATTATAATTTCAATCTTTTCAATACAAAATATAATATTCCCGTTGTATGAAAATTTATATTATAATTGTGTAACATCGCTACATTGTAAATATATATGTAATTCGTTTCAATTATATACCATGGTAAGATCTACAATTTTGTATTACCTCATAAAGTTAGCAAAATGGCATCCAACACGAGTAAATCGGCCCAAAAACCTAAATCACAGGAACAAATCGTATCTGCCTTCAATGAATTGCGGCAGCAGCAACGCAGCTTGGTCTCTAAGATGTCAGAGATTGAAATGGACATAAAAGAACACGAGTAAGATATCCATGAAAGCAAAACACAAGCTTTTTAATTCAGGACTTATATATGTACATCTAATGAATGGTCATGCATGGCCCTCTTTTGCCATGCTTTTTTAACTCAAAAAAAAGGGGTATTATAGTTAATTGATGTTGACGACAGTACATTGTAAAAAAATTCGCTAGTGTTGATTATCACACATCACAGAACCTAACTGTGGTCTGGCAATTATTGAACATTACAACAGTGGGGTAGCCACTAGTTCAGCTCTGAATGTTACGTAGGTCTCATTACACTCGCCGTGAACATTCAGGAACTGGCCTATTGACTCCATGTCGATAAAATTTCAGTTCCCAGTAAATCTTACTGGGCAACATTTTACTACTAAACGGTCGCGTGTCAGTCCCTGTGAACGCCTGTACAATGTTTGTGAAGGAACATTTAAGTGAGATAATAAGACTTTGCTTACCTCGCTATAGTCAGTATGTGCGACACAACATGCCATTAAAAATATGTCCCCTTCTGCTAAACAGTTTGGCAGAAGCCATTGAAATCTAAATGTAGGATAACGCACAAATTTACGTATCTCGGCCATATAAGACGAAACGAAATTTAGGTAAACAGGTGAATCAAAATTGGAATTTATGAAAAAAAATCTGACTGTAATTGGGCTAGGCAAAACAATAAATGTCTGAAGATTCTCAATTTTTGAAAGATTCCATTTGGTTTTTTTTTATGGCCGAGTTACGTAAATTTATGCGTTATCCTATATTTAGATTTCAGTGGCTTCTGCCAAACTGTTTAGCAGAAGGGGACATATTTTTATTATCATTATTATTATTATTATTAAAACGATATTTATACAGCGCTCGTCTTCCACTGCAAAGCAATGCTCAGAGGCACTTTACAAAAACATAAATTGAATCAATATAAAATTCAAATGTACATAAAGTCTAAATGATAAAATTACATATATATAGAGAATGACATAATCATGCAAGATATATAAAATCTTTTTAACTAAAAGCCTGTGTATAAAAATGGGTTTTTAGTGGTTGCTTGAATATTGTAATAGATTTTGCTGACCTTATGAAAAAAGGGAGCTTATTCCAGAGTCTCGGTGCCTGGAAAGAGAAGGATCGTTCTCCGAAAGCAGAAAGATTTACAGAGATGGGTTTAAGGAGAAAGGGGTCACTAAATGACCTCAAACATCTAGATGGCGTATATACAGTGATTAAATCTTTTATATAAGAGGGTGAAGTGTCATTAAAACATTTATAAACCAATAAAAGTATTTTAAAATTAATGCGGTACTTAATGGGTAACCAGTGTAAAGAAGCTAAAATTGGAGTTATGTGGTCATGTTTTTTCGAAAGAGTTATCAATCTGGCAGCACAATTTTGAACTTTTTGAAGTTTATCTAGGTGTTTTACAGGAAGACCAGCAAGGAGAGAATTAAAATTATCAAGCCTAGAAGTTATAAAAGCATGAACAAGTGATTTAGTTGCATCTAGTGAAATATATTTTCTAATTTTACCTATATTGTAAATGTGGAAATAGCAGCTTTTACATACATTATTAATTTGACTAATCATGTTCATGTTTTTGTCAAAGATAACACCAATGTTGTGTCGCGACCGTTTAGCAGTAAAAGTTGCACAGTAAGATTTACTGGGAACTGAAATTTTATAGACAAGGAATCAATAGGCCGGTTCCTGAACGTAGAGGGCGGGTGTAACATTGACTTGCGTTCAGAGCTGAACTAGGTAGCTACATGTACATGTAGAATTAGAAGTGCATAAATAAAACTGGAGTTGGAACGCTATTTTTTTTTTTTGACAGGAACTCTTGATTTATGCACTGTTCAAGATGCTAAAATAATTGATTTATGACGATTTTACCTGGAACTCTCACTCTTATATTGACACTGCAACCCTCTTTTCTAGTTTTTCTTGCATACAATTGTGCCAAAAGAAAATGATTTCAGAAACCTGTTTGAATGTGACCTTAAAATTATGTATCAGATTTAGAGATAAACATTTTTTTTAAAAGACTGAAAGCTCGAAAATAGTAACGGTACTTTAGGCTACTTTCATTTATGACCATTTTCTATCATATACAATTCTGCTATTTTTATGTAATAAGATTGCTAAGGATAATTGCTAAATATAGTAAAGTATTTTCAGTTTATAAAATACAATCAGTAGAGTACATTAAGCTATTATGAATTAGGTTTTATATACAATTTTGATATTGTACTTTTGTTTATTGCAGACTTGTTATTGATACATTAAAAGAGGTAGATGAGGGTAGAAAGTGTTACAGAATGGTTGGTGGGGTTTTAGTAGAAAGAACAGTTAAAGATGTATTACCAGCTTTAACCAATAATAAAGAACAGGTTTGTTTCAGATTATTTCCGATACTCAGGCTATTCAGTCATCACTCTCTCCAATGTAATAATTTGACCATAATGTTAATTGACGTTTTGAGGAAAGAGAATATCAGTGCAATGGAGTTTGTGACATTGTAACCATCAAGACAGCCTAACAGATGTGAACACACAAGCAGTGCCTACATTGTATTATTTTTGTTTTGTTGTTTAAGTTATGGTACTAGTGTCCTATTATTTACCACAGTTATTTCTTTTCTTTACAGATGTCTAAGCTAGTGGAAACTCTCTCTAAACAGATGGAAACTAAGGGTAGTGAAATTAATAAATTTAGAGAACAACATAATCTAAAGATACGTGGAGAAGATTCTAAAGAAATAGAGGGAAAAGATCAAGATGCATCTAAATCGGGAGCATCAGGCGTTCTTGTAGCCAAAGACTCTTAGCCAGTTAACAAAAACTTATGTGTTATATAATGTACATAAAACATTTTTGTATGTTGACGTCCCATTTTGTTATTGTTCAGCAGGAGAGTTCAGAAGATCAAAACTATTCCTATCACGGTAAATTTAATTTTATGAGAACAGATACTGTAATCATATTAGAAGTTCATATATATTAAAGTGTTCAACAACTTGATCTGAAAATAGTTATTTATTGAAGATTTGTTTACCTATACAGAGGAGATTATTTATATATGTTTGTATCTGTTCTTAAATTCTAAAAAGTGCTATGAACAGTGATTATTTGGTTGACAAATTGTGGAATGTGTGATCAGAAAAGTTTTGGTTTTGCTTCACATGTATCTTGAAGAAAATACACTCATCTAAACAATAAATGACATCTTTGTTTTATATTATACCCCATTCTTAAAGATACATTATAGTGGATTCTATAAAGAGCTGACAGTTATCACTATAATAGTTAAAAAATAGATAATGTAAAGGGGGTATGCTGAAAATTTCAGTCAAATTGCTTCACTATCATTTTTACCGCTATCACGATAATTAACAAAGTCTCCATTATCGAATTTTGCGTTTTATCATCAACAGACATTGAACAGCAGATCAGATTCAAATCCAAAGAAAATCAGATACATAAGATGGTCTTTTCATGTTAATAAAAGTCTAATTAAAGATGGGTTCCCGCGTACAGACTGGGTGATTTAATGGTATATATGGACTAAAAACATATTCAAACTAATTAATTTGTCATAATTATGCTTCAAATACTTCTCAAACATTGTAATTGCGAAGGAATGCCCTGCTATTAAAATTCGATCAAACCAGGTTATGTTTACGTCACGTCTTGTAAGTCAGAGGAGAATTCATTGCATACATAAGACGATGTTGTCTTTAATCGCTTACTATTTATTACAAATATCGAATCCTAATTAAATTCTCGGATTATCCACTACCCACGTCTTTTTCCGTCATTTGAATCTTGGAAAGTGTTGTACGTCTAACTCTTCATAGCGTTTATCAACTTGTACATCAAGCGCTCAATGTTCGCGTGTGACCTTTGACATCAAGCGTGCAGAAATTCTTAATCATCGGGCTGTTGATTAGGGGAACCCTTACATTTTTGTTCTGTATACGCTCCATGAGTGTTTTTCGGGGAATCCAGTATTTTTCTAGTAAGATTGGATATCTCTACTTTCCATATATACCTAAATTGCCATACTTTTATTGGAAATAACCACCCGATAAATACTTTTCTGGGAACCCATCTTTAATAGTTTATATAACATTTCAGGCCTAAAGAAAGACGTGCAATAGGCAGATTTACCTCTTGCATAATGCATGTTAAATGAGATCTAAGATTCAAGCCAGCTGATTATATGAATATGAACTTTTATCTTAAACATTCAATTCTTTTTTTTGAAGGAAATTTTACAATTTTCACTTTATGTAGAGGTATTGTTGTAACCCATTTCTGTATGTCATCTTGTATGTCTGTTAGTAGAAATTGTGATATGCAAACTAACTGTCATTTGGTAAATATTGTCATTTTCTGGTTATTGTCATAAAGTTCAGAATAATGACACGGTCCTCATAAGCATCCAGAAATTGGGTCGAGATTATGATGTTCAGCTAATACTAATATAGTTTACCAAACTGATAAAACTTGTAGGGAAGCTGAAATCCGGTTAATTGGATATGGTTATGATTGACAGGTTGTCATGCACTCTGACCAAACTAGTACGTTATCTATTTGTGGGGTTACTGCCCCTGTCATTGAAGCCTTCTAAAAGTGCATTATTTATGAGGTATATATATATATGTCAAGATGAGTGCATTTTTATGCTCCTGTCAGTGAAACCTTCAAAAACTACATGGAGGGCAGACTACCATTAAATTTTATCTCATTAATTATCCTTCTCTCTTGCTTCATTTTCTCCCCTTTTTTATGGCCATTATATTAACTTTTTGGTGTAGCATCCATCAAAACAAAGGGTTTGAATTGATATTTTTTGACAGATTTGGGTAAATGTTCATGGTGGAGGGATAACGAGCTAAGAGGTTGGTTATGATGATGTGTACAGTGGATAGCTACTTGTTTATAGTATACTTGAAGTTAGTACATCTCGGAATTTCACTTGTCAACCTCATTTAAACTTTGGAGCAAAAACATGGTCAGTTGTTGCTCCATCTGTGATCAAAAGTGTTAGCCATAAGAATAGTTGGGGAAAGGTTTGAGTAGGCAAAGAGCCCAAAATTAACATTGAAGTTGATGACAAACGCGGCAAAGTTACGGCGGAGGCCTGCTAGTGTGTGCAATTTTTTTCTGATATTTTGAAAATGGTCTTTTCCTTAGGCCCATAATTTGCCTTTTTCCAAAGGGGCAGAAGCTTAATCATCTTCGTGAAGCAACGACTGCGAGTTTTACAACATCTGAACGTTGCTAGATTGTTATACAATTCTCAAACTTGTAGCTACGTTATCTCCATTTACTGCACACATGTGAACAGTAGCATCCAATCAAAGGTTGTGATACACAAACGCTCAAATCAAATAGCAACCTCCACAAAAAACTTTGACATTGAAGTTTACACCTCAATTATCACAGTTAGACATGAATCTGATTGGCTCTCAAGCTAGATGAATACTCAATTGAAATTAGTGCCGAAATAACCAGGGTATTACGTGAAGGCCTTAAAAAAGATGTACGGAGTGAAGATGAAGCTTAATATGCTCTTAAAGGCTCAATACCACTCTTGTTGTAACTGAATAATATGTCCCAATCTTTATTCTGGTCAACAAATTGTACTATTTTACAATATTCCAATTAATTGATGATACAAATTTCATCTTAACAAACCTAATTTAAAAAATTGGAAAAATTCAACTAAATGATTTGAAAAGCCTTTTCAAATGTTACTTGGATTTAAAAATATTTTTGAACCCTCTGGACAAGTAAAATATGATTTAATGGATAATTTACACAACAGGTAGGACACTACCACATCTAGTACTGAGAATAGGGCTATTTTTTATTTTCTGGAGCTGTTAACCCAGCTAGAGTGTTATTGTCCCTTTAAATTTGTGGTCAACATAAAGCTAAATTAAAAATGTCCACTTCATATTTTGATTTAAAATGGAAGTACTTTTAAATAATTGATTTTTTAAATCAATTCCTGATCTCAGGTTCGTCCACATGCACAGTCACACACAACATTACCATGTATCGAAATAATTCCTGCTATAATACCTGTAATTGTTAATCTTTCAGTATTAAGCCTGTTGGTGCCATTACATTATGTACCACTGCTAGAGACAAATTATCAGACAGGTTGCAAATGCTTCAAGCAAAATTATGAACTTTACTCTTTTTTTTTCTCAGCGTTTTCAATTCTAGATTTGCAGCATATTTTAAAACCTTTTTACTCATGAAAACAGTGATGCAGAAGTTGTGTGGGTTATAAGAACCTATAGGATTTGTCTGGTTTGGATGTTAAGAAAATAGTGTCTAGTTCAGATGAGACCCCCAGACAGTCAAAGCTCTGTTATTCTCAAAATGACTTATTTTTGTATGTACAGTGTTAGAAACCCTTTCCATGCATGACACTTATCAATGCACAGAACAGTCTTACTGGACATAGTTCAGAATATGGAATGATGAATTTAGAATGGGCCCTCTAGTGTGTGAATTGTGAGCATGATTTTCGTTGGTATTGGTTGGTCGGTCTGGGTGTGAACTGTGAACCCTATTGATAATCTGCATTCTGCGACCTTCCACTCCAGATACCTCTTATTGCCGAAAACTTTGTAGAGACTAGAGGCTATAGATGAACACTTTCATTCCAGAGTGATGCCCCCTGAAACAAAAAACCTTGACTATTATTTGCAGTAAATCCAAATGAATAACTTCAATGCAACAAGATAAATAAGAAAACACAGACATTAACTGTAACATTTTATTATAAGGCACAGTTATGTCATAACAAACAGTCTATTCTTATAATCTTATATAATATTACTATGTTTTAACCCACATCCCAAATCAATATAAATCCAACTAATTCTTCTTAATTCATTTACAACTTTCACAGCCACATACCCTAATACAATACTACGTGCAAACTCACCACATGTACATTATTTAACAAAAACATAACATTTTATTATTAACAAAAATAAATTCTTATCAATCTTATAATAATCGTTAAAAATATATATTATTCTACTTTATTTTAAATATTTAACCTTATATTAAAGAACCGGGAGCAGACATTTTGTAAAATATGATTTGGTTTCAATTATTAAAGAACTGGAAGCAGACATTTTATACTGAGTTGGATTTACGTGTCATTTTGTTGCTCCCCTTGGGTGGCTAGTTAATGTATAGTCTAATACTATAAATATTGCTTTATCCACAATAAAGAAAAAATAATATTTTAAAATCAGATTCTTTTCTGTTAGGATATGTTTTGAATATTAATTGAGTGTTAAGCATGCTAAAATTCATAAACTGGTCAAGGGATATATACCGTTACTCTTTAATTATTCCAGAAACCATGTGACTTTATAGACATGTGCGCGGATGAATGACTAGTTGATTAACATGTCTATTGCTAGAACACAGCCAACACTTAACACAATAAATAAATACCATTTATCATATACCATATCAGAAGTGTGGTCATTGGTAAAAACAATTCCAAAAAGATCAGTATAAACTTTATAAGAAATGTGAATAGTAAGCATAACTGAACAATTATAAAAATAGTGTATAAAAACTGAGTACACAACTGATTTGCAATAGGTATTGAGATATCACTGTTTAAAGAAAAGTAAGATTGACTCGCTCTTATTTCAGAACAAAGTAACCTGATATTTTGATCTAGAATAAACCCTGTGATCATAATTCCTTACCAATATTGCAACAACTGTATGAAACATTCTTTCAGTTATATAAATTATGGAAACCTGCTGTCTGTCACCATCTTTCTACTATACTTTAATTAACTAACATGAGCATAGAATGTTATTAAAATTATTTGTAATTATATACAATGTCATGTAACTAATATTTAAACTAACAAACAGTTTATAATATACATGTATATTACAAGTTCATAAAAAAAAACCCAAATATTATATTATATAGCAGAATTATATTTTAAATCTCTAATAATATCTTAATTAGCTTATAGTGCTTATACATACATGTACTATCAATTTTTATCTTATAGAAAAGACAAAGAAATAGTGAAGAAAAATGGAACTACATGTACATTGATAAAAAATTCTGATAAACCTAGAATTTATTAAAACACATAAAAATGTTATATAGTAATTAATGCTGTTCGGATTTCCTTAAAATCTAGTACATAAAAAATAAAAAAAATAAAACACTTACAATATATGTTAACAATAAAAGCACTTATATTTATTTATTCAGAGATTATTATAGGTTTAAATGTACTGTACAGCGGTACTATATATGATTATGGATCTTATGCTGCTGTTTATTCTGGTAGTTAGATCTGAATAACGAACTCATGCATTATTTGAAATGTACTGACTATCCATGATAAACATTAAACATTATCTTCCTTAATAAATTATCGTCATTTGATTAATTGCCATTCTCGTCCTTTTAAATATTTAGCATATTTATAGCATAGTTTTGATTAAATCTCAACTATTTCCTGGATTATTAAATCATATAATATGCCATATTAATCAACAGATTTCCTTGTTAAATAAAAATAAGTAAAATCAAGTAAAAAACCCAAATGAATTGTGTTTTGACTGTAAGGCAATAAAAATAGAAAGGATTGGATGGAATAATATTTTTCAGGATTTTTTGATATGGCAGTTATATTTTCAGATCACTATGTTAAAAATGCAATCGCAAGATAACCTTTCCATGTAGCAATTATTTATAAATTGTTTGCTGATAATAATTTGATTCAATAAATACATGTAATAATGTACTTTCTAGTAGTCAAACAAGTAGGATCAGCTGACCATCCACAGAGCATGGGTTATGTTAGAAGGTGGTTGTACTATTCTTACATTGTAATGATATTCCTATACATGACACCTTAGATTACAATATAGGTTCTGCAGTTTATACTTAAGCCAAGTCAAAAACTTCAAACTGCTGAGATTATTATCAGGTATGGCCGGTCTTATTTCTTATTAGTGAGACTGTTTCGATAAATTGCTCGGCTGATGGACTATTTTAAAATGGACTTAAAGGAACTAAATCGCTAATATTTGGGACCTAGAAATTGACACAAATGGGTTACAATGCATATAATAATGTAAGATGAATTAAATTCTATTGTTTCCCTTTTTACTCTAATTTCAAATCAGTTATGTTCGGCAAAATATGCCAGAAGTCTCAATCAAATGGCAATCTCTAGCGTCTGATTATTCCAGTCTACACTGAGAGTGTTTATTGTGCATGCTCTCCAGATAAGAATATGGCGTCACCGTTTGACATGACTTGTGGAATATGTCTAGCCTCGTTCTTGGAGTCCCTTGTTACAAATGGCGCTGAAACGCATTATGGTACACAATTTGTGTACCATGTCAAAATGTTAATTTTGTCTTAAATATTCGATATCAGAAGCCTATCTTTTCCAGGTAAGATCACAACATCAATGTTGATTTAAACTGACAAATAATTTGTGTTTTCAATGTCGAAGACTTGGGATAAAAATGAGTAAGAGACTTGGCTACTTTAAATATGATGTATATCACACTCCTCGCAGTGTTTCGTTTGATTAGACCTTCCCACACAAACACTAAATCAATCGGGATTAACCAGCTCTAAATATGTTACCGTGAAGTGTCTGGTGACAACCGCGGCTACATTACGTCATAATGAGCGAATTGTATTACGCTCAATGAACTACACGTAGTGCATGACAGAATATTACAGAGAAACTAATTATGTGATAAACAAGGCTATCCAAAATAGCTACAATGTAAACACTGGGTAATCGCCGCACACATGGAATCTTTTTATCATCTCTTGGAGCACACAGCAGATGATCAATATTTTCACTATCTTTTAATACATTTTATCAACTATCTAAAGACCACAGATCAAACAGAAGGGCCGTCATGTTACATATTTTTTGATAAAATAAATAATTCATGGATTTTCATCACAAAAATGGATAAATATTATCAAATAATTAAAGGTAGAATTTATATCGGAGATTTGAGGCAAAGAATTTTCGTTCCAATAGCGAGTTTCTGCGACGGCCAAATTAACCGATGCGAGTATCGATGTTTGCTCCTGATGCATCCAAGGCTATGGTAAAATTTTTCTTGAAATCAGCACCAACTAACACCGGGATTTTGTTTTTAAAGAGGTCACCCTCATTAAGCAGCAGTCATAAAAATCCCCTTTATTTTACTGTACTCAGGAGAGATTTGATTGGATGATGAGAATGGACACACTCCGTCAAAAACTCAAGTTTTCAGTCTAAGTATAGCAATGGCTAGAGGGATTTCTCGGGCCACTGCTTCAGGAATATGGGTGTATATAAATACATGTGGACTCTATGCAGGTTTTTGTCCTCTACACTAAACTGGATGTTTGACTGGATGCTTGACTGGTTTGGGCTTCAGATTCTAATTTTTCCTTTTTCATTGCTTCTTTTTTTGCCATTTCTTTCCTAATTTCTTCAGCCATTATCGATTTTGTTTTAGTTAAAATAGTATCAGCACCATTACTTAACATTTTCTCTGCTAATCGTGTACCAAGTTGTTCAGCTAATAAAAACATCTCATGCGACATACTATCAGATTCAATTATTCCTGCATACTGATGTCGTTTTGTCTTCCTTGCCTTCTAAAAAAAAATAAAAAGAAGACTCAAGTCATTTCCATCCCACACCCTTTGACATGTATTGGTAATGAACAGCAAAATACTAATAGAATATAGCAAAAAGAATAAGGCATGCCAATTATGCCACCTGTTAAAAGAGGAATTCCAAATCCTAAGTATCCAACAAAAAAAATTATTCAATTCAAAATCAGGTAGATGTGTCCACAAAGTTTCATAAAGATATCATAAGCTGTTAATAAGATATACTTCTGAATAATAATTGTGTACTCAAAAAAAAAAAGGGTAACATTTACATGTAATCACAAGCTATTTAACTGATAATTTCTAATTAGCACAAGGCACAACTACCATAATAGATTGATGTGTGTACAAAAGGCTTTAAAAAGATATCTTGAATGGTTTTGAGACATGCTCCTAATATTAAACAAAATTTTATAAAGGTTTCTTGAAACAGAAGCTTATCGGGAGAGAAGAATGGAGCCCATTTCAATATCCCCTCCCATCTTTATTTGGCGTGGGATAAAAAAAGTAGAAGTAAAATAAAAGTAATCAAAAACACACATTTAACTTTTGAATTAAGCTTACTTTTTGTTTAGGTTCAGAGTCATCTGTTAATGGCAGTTTTTCTGTGAGTGAATCAAGTACTGATTCTTCACCATCTATACTGTATACACCACCTCTGATCATTAACTACAAATACACATTGACAATACATTTTATTATCATACACTACCTCTTATCATTAACTACAAATACTCATAAAAACAAAAATGGTTGGAGTGCCCAAGTTTAGATTTGTCGTTGATTCCATAAGGTAGTTAGGATTTAAAAACGTTAATAGCTGTGTAATGGTCTATTTATAAATATAAATATTTGGTACTAATTCGTACCTATATAATATTAAATGTCGGCCAAATAAATAAATAGCTGTTTTTCCATAAGTATGTGTTTTTGTGTATTGCTCTATCCAGTTACTAAATGCCTCTAAAAGATTTCTTATATTATACAAATACTCATAAACAATACATTCTGTTATACTGTATATACATCCTCTCATCATTTATAAATTAACTACAAATATATAGAGAAATTAACTACCAATACACATAGAAATTTACTACCAATACACATACAAAATGTGACTGTACTGTACATCACATTGTGATTCATAGATTCCACCTTATATATTAATTATATAATTCAGTAAATATTAAAACATACTTCTCCATTCTTTATTTCTGTTTGAACACAAACTGGAACACTACAACCACCTTCCTGTAACAATACAATATAAAATCTATATCTATTTGACCAATCTATTTTGAGATTCATGTGAATATTGTTAATATTTTCCGTTACAATGTATGCACTCCACAAGAGAATTTTAAAAGGGCACATAATTACTATTACACAGTTATCAGCCCAATGCAGGTTTATTTCTAACAGACATTACCGTCAGAAAATAAGAGCAGAGCAAAGTGTAACTCTCGAGACTATATTTCATGTGAAATATCTTCAACAGTCTAAAATGTGTTTGGTTTGTATGCCAGTAATAGTCATGTATTTATAGCATATACCTACCCTAGGCAGGTGGAAGGTTGCTCTCCTATTTTTAAAATTTTAATGGGTTTACATTAGATTGAGTGATTATACTCATTTGGCAGCAAGGATAAGTACTAATGGCCCCAGCCTTCATAGAATTTAAAGAACATCTTTTCAAATTTTTACTTCTAGTCTAGATCTAGTGTTTAAGTAAGTAATAAAGTTACATACCAATTTCTTTAAATAAGCTCGTTCAGCAATACATCTTAATGCTGTGTCATTATCATGTAAAGGTGACAATAATCTTAGCGTTTCTTCATCATCAGCTCGACATTCTACAGCTAATGCTCCTTGACCAACACAATACATACATATATCTGGTGTTAAAACCTTAATGTAAAAATGATCCTGTTTATTATTTATCTCCATATTACATTACTTTTATTATCTATCACATTTTATTATTGATCTCAATATCATATCACATTTTGTTATCCCTTTAACTATTTATAAAATTTCTATCACATTCTATTAATTATCTCAATAGTATATCACATTTTGTTATTTATCACAATATTGTATTACATATTGTTAATCATTTCAATATTATACCAAATTTTGCTATTTACTATATTTCATTATTTTATAATAAATAAAAGGTATACCTAGTTTTAAGTTTAAGTCCATTCTACACAAACTAGGTCATTTCGGAACTAACAGTTAAATTTTATATTACTCCTTGTGACATACAAGCGGGAAATTGAAACCATGCCACTTGACTCAATGACAGACCTCCTGATTTTACATGCATGCGTTAAACTACTTAAAGCATTTATATCAATATCATATCACATTTTATTCCTGAACTGATTTTGATAATCAAGTGTTTTTAATTTGACATTTTAAGAAACTTGAAACATGGTGAATTTTCAAACTCCATGTTAAACAAGTTAGAACAAATAAATGCACCAAAAATAGTTAGATATGCGAACATCCCAAATATATCAGGCGTACTTGATCTGGTGGATGCAGACTTCTAAGCTCCTTACCTCTTTTATTACATCATGCCAGCCCATTCTTTCTAATCCAGCTTTGGCCAATATAATAGCATCATAATTACTTTCATTTAATTTACTCAGTCGAGTATTGAGATTACCACGCTTGTAGGTGTTAAGGTAATAATCAAATTGTCTTCATTTTATTTGCATTATAAAAATCATTTTAAAAAGATAAGTTGTCAGACAAAAAAACATACATCCACAACAGTCCATAAAATTTGTTGCATTCTTGTGATTCTCTTCTTTGAGCGGCATTTAGCAATTGACATACGTAATACACACAAAAACATAATATGGAACACAATTACTATCTTAATTAAAGCGACGTTTCGTTGCTTGAAAACATTGAGAGAACCCTCAACGAAACGTCGCTTTAATTAAAATAGTAATTGTGTTCCATATTATGTTTTTGTGTGTATTCTTGTGATTCTTAAGATAAATATAAAGCAATTTTTATCTACTGCAAAATATCATTGGTGAGTTGATGGTAATCAAGCGTCATAGTATCACATTTTAATGTGGGCATATAAAAATATAGTTTTATAATTTTCAACCATAGGTTATAGGTCAGTCTGTTTAGACCTAATGTCTAGTCAACATGTCCTGTATACAAGATTTAAATCTGACATATTTATATATACATTCTGTCATTAATATAAATAATATGTCACTAAAGTTATAACCTTCAAAAGTTAATATATCACAATAAAAAATTAAATCTCATGTGTAAAATGATGCAATAAAGGATACAATATCTTGTATAACTAAATTGGGATATTTTCTCTTTATCTGTGCAGATCTTCTTAATGAACTAGTTCCAATAATACTGAAAATAATAAAACATACATTAAAGAAAGATTGTCAATTAGATGAATTTAACAAATAAATAAGGATTGGTATCAGATGTGACCAAAATAGTAAGCATACCCAGGGACACCAAAACCCGGGTACCAGGGTATATAAATGGTACCCTGCCATTTTCCAGGGTTTACATGTATACCCATGCCCTAATGATGAAAGTTTTAAACATTTGTACTAATTTAGTCACTTGCGAATAATCAGGCTTTTGTATATTTCATTATCATGTATTTTAAAGGGTTTTATGTTGGAATTTGGAATGCTCTAAACAGCTTCTCGGAATTGACAAATTTCAAAATTGTCTAGAGGCAGGCCCCCCCCCCCCCGATCTTTTGGTACCCTGGCCCTCGCGCCATTCCAGCGCCCATGAGCATACCCTACATTGTCAATGACACCTGTCACAACAAAACATTATAGCTAATACTTTGGCTAATAATTTGGATTTCAGAAGCAAATGTTGTAATTATGTATGATATTGCTATAGGCCTATAAAGGGCATTATCAAGATTTTGAGCCATAGATATCTTTTGTTTTACTTGAGAAATGGCTACAAGTGAAACCATTTTCAGCCATGCGTAGCTGCAATCAAGAGGAGAATTGCAATAGAATAAAATTAATTTATCTAACAAATAAACACTCCTTTGAAGAATTAAACATAAAACAAAAGATCTTCATGACACAAAGTGTGAGCACAATAGCCTTGGAAAAACTATGAAAATTTTCTATTATACCTCCCATCTGGTAGATCAGCTAATGTTTTATCACGATTACCAAAACTCATTACAACTGCATCACAAGGATCATCACGTCTGAAAACCATCAATATGAAACAGATATAATTATGTAATAATTTATAAACCGGATTATAGATTATCAAATATATTTCATTACAAGTTTAAATAGGCATCAGCACTTTAAAGGTCCACCCAGTTGGGCAAAATGTAAGTTTACTCTCAGGTTACACCAAACCAGAGCAATTTGCCAACCTTGCTGAGATGCAGACATTTTTATTGTATAATTTATTTAGTGGTTTTCTAGGATTTTTTAAACTTGTATTAAAACTACCTTTCTCAAATTAGCATGAGTCACTGCAAAGATTCCCGGTAGATGAAGATGGGGTTATTTTGAGTATCATATATAAATCAATTACATTTGTGATTTATGCCTCTTTAACAATGTATCATGTAATGCCATAAAAGAACAGCTCATATCATCCGATGACAGTTGAGTGTAAATGCACTTGCAGTACAGTATAATTACAAGGCTTTGCTCTCTTCCCTCCCCTCTTAAATTTGACAAGAGGTTTTGCAATATGTGGGACATTTTGCTGAAGTAGCATTATTTCAGCTAACACACACATTCAAACACATTGTAACTTTATGCAGATAAGGGCAAGAGACCACATTTATCATTGTTTTTATCTGTACACAATGATTTTCTTTTTCTTTAAATATAGTGCATATTTACAAGATTAAAAATAGAAGAGATTTAAAGAAAAAAATGGCCCAGATTTTTAAGCCTAAATGTAAGTGAACTATTTTTTCTGCGGAACTAACACAGCTGCGAAAAGTTTGTGCTGATTGCACAAACTGTGCCTGTAGTGACCTGATATCAGTCAGTTTAGGAAATTATCTTTATCTACATTATGTAATTAAGATTGTCAAAGTGGTTAACATAAACTACTACAAAACCTTTTTTTCCAGCCCCCAAATTGTATGCATCCCACACTAAAGATTGCCATGCAGAAAATATTATTAGTAAAATGAAAACAGAATATTGTTTTTCAGTATAATATACAAGTTAAGTTACTATTATTAAAATTTTATTTTTCTTAAGAGTTTGTTACATGATCTCTAGAAGATGACTTGGCAACTAGTCGAGCACAGTTATTTTGTACAACTTGAAGACAGTTGAGGTAGAAATCTGGAATGCCAGCCAGAAATCCATTTCCATAGTCCAGCTGAGACATTTTATTCTGAAAAAAAAAATTACCTGTAAACACAGCCTATAGTTAAACCATCTGGTAAAGTAGTTGGTAAATCTTTTAAAGAATGGACAACAAAGTCTACTTGTTTTTCTTTTAAAGCATTTTCAAGTTCTCTGGTAAATAGGGACTTCTCTCCAATCTGTAAATAGAATTTTACCTTGACAAACAAGACAAAAACTAGCAAGCGGTAAAACATATCTTATCAAAAGTGGGTTTGTAATATCTATATCTGGTACATATTTACAGGTTAACATATGAGATAAAACATAATGCAAACCTATATTGTTTACTGACTAATAGCCCGTTCAGACGTTTAAGTTGAACTGGTTTAAAAACCCTGGGGATCGTTAAACCAGTTTAACTTAAGCGTCTGAACGCAAATAAACCAGTTTAAAAACCCCTGCTCGCGACCTGTCTTCGAGAAGGCTTTTTATTTTAAACTGGTTCATCTTAGCCGTCTGAACGGGTTGGCTTAAAAACCCCAGCTCCAGCTTGCTTCGAGCATGCGCAGTACGCAGTTAGTTACATTCCTGTGAAAATATTGGGGTCAGACAGTGCCAATGTTATCGAAAGTGTGGGAGAACCGAATAAAGAATATGAAGCTACCCATGCGCAGTTAACTCTAACCTCCGACCGAAGAGGTCAGAATAGTTAAACTGGTTTGGCTTATAGTACGTGTGAACGCAACACGATGCTGTCTTAAAAACCCCAGCGATTATGAACTGGTTTAAAAATAAGCGTCTGAACGGGCTAATAGATGCAAAATACAATGAACACCCCCTAAATGTAATCAGAGATCAAATTTGGTTTTACAACATTTCTAAACAGTTGAATAATGAAAGTCGGGACAAAAACTTTCTTTGGTATAACAATTTTTAAACTGTTACACTAAAGTCGACCTACTTTGTATTTTGTCTGTCAGTTCATGGAGCCACTGTGGCTCAATAAATAAGGCACTAGCTCACTAACCAGGAGGTATTAGGATTGACCCCTGTGTTGGCAGAGATAGTTCCTGGGAACACCACATACTGTCCGGGCAAAATTCCCCCATGTAGGTACAGAAAAGCAGGATGTTAAGCATCTTTATGTCATCTCCATCAGTATATCACCAAATATGTTCAATAGCAAAGATTTTTCATTTTGAACAACAAACATGATTATATTCTCCAATCAGTGGTAATAGGCCGTATTCTCGAGGTGAAAATCTTGTCACCTTCGCTCCCGCTAAACCGGTCTACAAATCGGACTATCAATAATCATGCAATCAATATGTCAACAAAGTTCTCCAATAAAATCTGCCAATTTAATAGTTCAAGCTCGAAATAGGCTATAAATCGATGACTTATTTCTTTATAGTGCGGAGCCATATTTGCGTAGATGTGAGTTGGATCCTGCGCATCTATTTAAAATTTGGCCAATCAGTGGTCTCGCTTGCGGTCAAAAATTCTGGGGTCAAGTGCCAGGTCATAGCATTTGTAAACAAAGCCATGCGAACGATTTACCTTGCAAATCGCTCGCGGTTGGGACGAACAGAGATCAAATGAACCCCAAAAACGTCCCATCCGTGTAGAGAAGTGGTGTATGAGAGCCACAAAAGGTATTTTGATCACACTGACATAAAATGTGGCAGTCAGTCAGGTTTTTTCGACACTGATTAAGGATATGGGACCGGTCTATTTCACTAGAAAAATGCCTTAATATCAAGGGAGATTACAGAGAATGCAACAAGGTCACTGCTTCTATAAGTGTAATTCTAATAAAATTATTCATTTTACATAACAAAATACTTAAAACCTGTCTAGCCTGCTGACTTGATAATGATCATGGATAGACTAGTGTATAGCTAAGATTAAGAATGAAAAAACATATTTTGAAATAAAGGTTGAAAACTTAAAAAGTTGCAGAAATATTAAGAAGAAATGCTTAAATAATTTGAACTAGCTCAGAATTGTCAGGGAAAAGCCCATATGGACAAAATAAAATGTTGCATCTACAATGTATAAGCTTACAATAGATATATGAATTCAAAATGGGTTTTGTCTGCAATTGCGAATGAACCAGATGCCCCCCCCCCATCAATATGGGGCTCACCTACGACATAGTTTACATGTAAGGCTACCAGTATTTGTTTCACTGGACTTATCAAAACAGCAAAAGTGTTATTGGTGCTTTAAATAAAATAATAAAAATGCTATTTTTATTTCGCACTGGACTAAATTGTCCCTCTTTTGTATGGCCCCCGCTCGAACATACTTGGATTTTTTCTTGCAAATTATACAGCTCTCTGATAAAACTGACTTCTTTAACTCTGATGAAGTAGTAACAAGTACTGCACCATGATGTGATTCCTTTGGTGATATTAATGAATAAGTAGGGGTGAATGAGACACACTTTTAGTTTTTAAATTTGTTGAAGTACTAGGCCTAGTAGTAGGGGTTATGGACATAAAGGCCCTAAACCAAAATGGCTCAAGTATTTGGTCATAACGGTCAAAACTACATAACGGTCAAAACATTAGGGTCATAATGGCCAAAAAAAACATTTGAATTTTGATATATTATATATCAAATGATATTTATTAATATAAATATTGCATAATATAAATACCAATATTTCTTAATAGATAATATTTTCATATACATTTCTTTAATACATAAATTTAAAAACACTGTAGACATTTAATACTTAATACACTGTATAACTATAACATACATAATTTACAAAGACATCTATTTAATATGGAGGGTGGGTGGCGAATGGTTTAACATGTACACATGAAATCATAAGGTCTGTCATTGCGTCAATGACTTAATTTCAATTCTCTGCTTGTACGTGACAAGGACTAGGGTCACTTGTTCAACCTTGTGAGTTTTCTCCGAGTCCCCCAGTTTCCTTCCTCTGCTACAGACCCTCACATGCAAGCAAATTATTTAAATAAAAAGGAACCGTGTCGACTGGACATTAATGTTCAGCTCATGTTACTTTATCAGTGGGGTGTGAAAGATTTAATTAGGGATTATCAAAAACTTTGATTAATTAGTATAATTCCCCTCTTTCCTTTGAATCACAGCATGCAATGTTCTGGGTTGACTTGGATGGTTATATTCAATTCTTTCATTCAAAAATATGTCTGGACTTATGGTCTGTAGCCTATATATGATGCACCTTTATTTATTATATTTATTTATTACTTCTACTAGTTGGAATAGAAGTGGTCATATCTTGTTGAAGGTTTGGTGAAACCGTGTTTAAATATTATGTTATGAGTGAATTGCTATTTTTGTCGAATGATTAATATACTAATAGTAAGTTGTTAAATAATGTTTGGTAAAATATATTATGACCACATCACAGTAATACTAATACTAATAGTCTGTATGTATGTCGTGACAGTTTAGTTTCGGTTTGACTGAATGTAGACGCTGCCTTACCACTGAGTCACTCTCTTTCTTTCTCGCATCATTTAACTGTTTTGTTCTTAAAACATCTATAAAACGTTGGAAGAAATCCAAAACCACTGCCGACTGTATCTTCAATATAATATCCTTCGTACTAAAATATCCATTTGTATCGAAAAATTCTGCAATGGATTGGTCATTTCCATCCAATTGAAACCAGTCTATAGCTACCTCACGACATTTATCTCACCTTGTGTTTGTAAAGGGTTCTGCACTTCCCTTATTAACACTGTCTAAGTGAACAATACAAGTTAATTGAGCCTTTGTCGCCATTTAGTGTAGCTTCTACATGTATAACTGCAATGTGTGCCTCGTGAAGCACGCCATTTTGTGTTTACCAACAACACACGCGAATGTAGACAATAACGTGATTGGTCGATTGTGGAAAAAACGATCACGTGACGCGGCGAACAACGCTGAATTCTGTCCAGTGACCTCGGGCACTATGAATTTTACTATCAATAAATAGTCCGGATTTCAACGAAGAATATCACCGAAGAACGATAGTCTTTTTTGGGGGAACATTACAACAAACGACCGGATTTGTAGGAACGAAAATATTTTTGCAACGACAATTTGTGCCCATGGAATGCGGCCTATAACATAATCAGCCATGTACAATTAATGTATACTTAAAGTAGCCAAGTCTCTAACTCAATATCATCCAAAATCGTCGACATTGAAAACACAAATTACTTGTCAATTTAAATCAACATTGATGTTGTAATCTTACTGGGAAAAGATAGGCTTCTGATATCCAATATTTAAGACAAAATAAACATTTTAGCATTGGTACACGCATCGTGTACCATAATGCGTTTCAGCGTCATTTGTAAAAAGGGGCTCGAAGAACAAAGCTAGACATATTCCACAAGTTGTGTCAACCGGTGACGTCATATTCTTATCTGGAGAGCATGCGCAATAAACACTCTCAGTGTAGACTGGAATAATCAGACGCTAGAGATTGCCATTCGATTGAGACTTCTGGCGTATTTCGCCGAATATATGTGATTTGAAATTAGAGTAAAAACGGAAATGATTGAATGTAAATCAGTTTATATACATTCATACATTATTATATGGGTTGCGACCCATTTGTGTCAATTTCTAGGTCCCAAATATAAGCGATTTAGCTCCTTAAAATATAATGAAATCTGAAGTCTAAATACCTCACTCTATTGATTATTAATATATAAAGACATCAGTTTCAGTTGTATAGTAACATCTGTATTGTCAGTTGTATTGTGATATATTATGTCAATCAATAATAATATGCATGTTTGTAGAGCACATGAAATCAGACACAATGTATTTCTCATTGTGACAATGTCAGATATAAAAATTTGCTGCCAGGCAACGAAACATACGCCCACAGCAGCTAAATCATCTGAGTGGTCAACAAGGGTTGTCTCACATTTAATCTTTTGCAGGTAGTAAGTCCAACAAAGTGAAACAAGGGCCATAACTCCAGAAGTAATTAACAGTAATTGTTGAAAATCAATCGGCATCTTCGTTCAATAATTTAATTAATGCATACAAATTTCATACAGATCGGATGATGACTTTTGTCATTCGAACTTTCACAAGGTTCAACAAAATGAAACAAGGGCCATAACACTAGACATATTTAACAGCAATTGCTGAAATTCAATATGCATTTTTGTTTCACTAATTTTAAGGATGCATAAAAATTTCATACAGATCGGAGGATAATTTTTGTCGTTCGAGCGTTAACAAGGTGCAATAAAGTAAAACAAGGGCCATAACTCCAGAAGAAGTTAACGGAAATTAGTGAAATTAAATAGGCTTCTTCATTTCAGTAATTTCAAAACAATCAGATGATAAATGATAAATGTAGTCTGTACAGTGTTCACAAGAAAGTGTGGACGGCGGACCGATGGGCCATGGGAAGACAGAGGCGACGGCAATATACAAACACATTTCCATGTGGGCTTTTAAAAAAAAAAAGAAAAAAAAAAGTGATATAAACTGGAGGTTACCGTAGATACGTGTCACAGAGTTGATGTTATAGCTCATGCTAATATAAACAAAAAATTGACAGCATTACAGTTACATATAGAAGGTGGCATGAAATCAATAGAAACTAATGTAAACTGTAAAATGGTCATAACTGAAGGATATAAATAATTTTCAGATCAATAAATTTTTAGGTATAGTATCTTTGATTGTGCACGCTCCTAAAACTATTTACCCGTTGTTAATCTATAAAGGCACAACATGTTTGAAACATCACACAATTAAAAGTGCTTTAATAAAAAAAAACAGTTCTGGTCCAAATATTATTTCAAACCCCTCAATTCTCACTTATGTTATGGGGTATGGCCATTAAACATTTACACTTGCTTCTATTGATTTCATACTGTCATCTTCACAACCTTTTTTGAACAAGTCAGCCCATTCTTCATTATACTTGTAATAACAATCATCACATTCAAATATTTTTGACTTTGACACTATGTAAATGATCAGGCTTGTAATACTATAAAGTAAGTGAAATATTTGAATTCTTTTTATTGTTTTACAGAATGTGTTTAAATCTAAATAAATGATTTACCAAAACAATAAATAACAAAGATGTATATAGCAGTTGTATGTTAGGTACATGTATTACTGTCACTAACATGTATACAAACATTCGGATTTCTTCCTTCAATTCATCATTTCAGCCACAAATTAAGGAAGAGTTTGAAACTTTATTCATGATCATTAATCAAACACCAATTAAAGTAAAATATGTACATATTAGATTTAATAACAAAACCAGGTATTAAATAATAGACAGATCGTGGTGAAAATGGCTATTCTGAATTTATTGCCTAAACTGTATAAAACTAATGTCATTAGGGAAATAAAAATTGGGCGATTTATTAAAGATATGGCAGCAGTCATTTAGGGTTGTTAGCTTTTGATGGAGATTCCATAGATACAAGATCACATATCAAGTTTCATTAAAATAAAATCTATACTCTGTTATGTTCACAAGCCAATTTTGACTTTATTTGGGAAACAACTCCTGAATATCTGACGAATCACATTCAAATTTGAACTCAAATCCCAAGTTGTCATGTACATGTAGAGCCATGAGATAAAATCAGATGAAAAACATAGACTATGTTATAATGTGTTCACATTAGCAAGTGTGACCATGGGCGTATAAAAATATGTTACCTGAAAATTAATCAAATAGCAAGATTTCAACAACAGAATGTCAGTATTCTAAAATACCACCTAATTTTTATATCGGTATTAGCATGTGATCAGAACTGAGTTTCTTTCTCAGGCACCAAAATACAGGATAGGAAAGAAATCAACAAATTCAAATAATTTTTTCAATGTAACATTAACAGTAAAATTGTCCAATTTTATACTGTTTATCACTTGATTTGTTTCATGACAAGATTTCTTAAAATTAACTTTATTAGGGATAAATAATCATGAATTTTATTAGAAAGTTCCTTTTACCTTTGATAATGCAGAATCCAAAATATTATCACCTGTAGTGGACATAGTAACTGAAAAAAAAAATGAATGTACTCATTAAATTGAGTGGACAAGTTCTTAACTATTAGCTTTATTAGTTTTATATTAAAGAAGGCCACTAAACAAACTGTTTAAAAGCTGTGTAAATTAAAAGACCATGTTTGATCAAGTCATATGCGACGAGCTGAATAACTGTTATAGATTCTTAACTGGAAAATCCTGGATATATTTTAGTAAATAAAAGTGGTTAATTTATGTGAAAGACTTTTTTTCTAGTACTAGTACTGTGCGACCATCTGGAGTTTTAGGTTTTTTTTAAAGAATGATTTGAGTAACCATGTTAAGCATTTACGAACCATTCAATATTTGGAGGTAAATAGACCTTTCCGTCACATTTAGCATTTGATATACATATTATAAAACAAGTCACTTTTATTCAGGGTGTCCTGTGAAATCTGTGAATTTCCCCTTAATATATACTATTCAAAAAAAGTAGGGGATATATGATTTTTAAGTGTTATTAAAGTCACCTAATGAAACTGACGAAGAAACAAATGACAAAATGAAATGAAGTTCACATTCATCGATTTATTCCAAATCATCGTTAGACTAAGTAAGGCACAGACTGACCATTATAAGGGTAAAATGATACCCGGGGTCAAACAGCAAAGTTACCACAGCATCACAACCAAGTCAGTAACGGGTAAATCCTCCTCTGTTTGCCAAACAAGCATTGATCCGACGTGGCATACTCCTAATGAGACGTCTAAGGTCATTTTGGTCCAGATAGTCCCATTCCTGTTGCAACGCAGCAGCAAGTTCTTGGACATTGGCAGGACGTTGTTGACGTTGACGTAACCTCTGTCCAAGCATGTCCCAGACATGCTCGATGGGGGAGAGGTTGGGACTCAGTGCTGGCCAAGGTAATGTGGTGATGTTCTGTTGTTGGAGGTAACCTGTAACGATCCTGGCCCTGTGACATCTTGCGTTGTCATCCTGGAAGATGAAACGGCGGCCATGACGTCGTGCGAACGGCACAACATGGACTGCCAAGATGTTGTCCCGGTAGTACTGGCCTGTAACACGCCCTGCAACAACATGTAAAGCCGTTCTTCCAGCAACAGTGATGCCTCCCCACACCATAACAGAACCACCCCCAAATCGATCATGTCTGATGACGTTAACGTCTTGGAAGCGCTCGTTTCGACGACGCCACACCCTCCTACGTCTGTCCAAAAAATCAACAGTGAACCTTGACTCATCTGAAAACATCACATTGCTCCAGCGTCGATTATCCCAGTGTTGACGATCCCTACACCAACGACGTCTTGCCTGAATGTGATGATCTCTCAAACAAGGGATCACGCGAGGACGTCGGGCGCGAAGGTGACCCCTATGCAGTCGATTCCGAATCGTCTGGCCACTCACTCTCACACCAGTGTCTGTTTGAAGACGAGCGCTGATCTGATTTGCTGTGATGACACGATTTCTCAAGGCCAAGGTACGGATAAATCAATCCTGGGCTTGAGTTGTCGCCCTTGGTCGACCTGAGCGTGGTCTGTCCTGTACAGATTGTGTATCACGGTATCTGGACCATAGCCTGCTTATGACAGACTGAGAAACATTCATCGTCCGCGCCACAACCACCTGTGTTGTGCCGATCTGTAGCATGCCAAGGGCACGTAACCTTTCATTTTGGGTAAGCCGACGCATATCAAAATTTGTTTTCTGGTCACTAAAACAATTAAACTGATGTTTCCACCCTGGAATTCAATGCCACAATGACTGTAACATTCAAAGTCAGAGTCGTGCAAATCTACGGTTGGACCCCCATGATGATCCCAAGCATCACCTGCATTCCATGCGGTAGCTATTGGTGCGTTTGGGCGTCACATGTAACTGGAAATGTTTCTTCTGTTAGGTTCTATAGTGACTTTTTTCGTAGTCATTTGCATATTTTAGTATTATGCCCCCAAAATCAAATATCCCCTACTTTTTTTGAATAGTATATATATAATGTATACCCAATGAAATCCAAGATGCCTCTAGCTGTTGCTATTTTAAGTAGATGTATTGAATAATGACATTTTATAGATTAGGTGCCTGGCTTCTCTTCCAAATCGAATAACACTATACACATGCTGCATTAAAAATTCATGAATCTATTTTTATAATTTAAAAAGTAAAATATTTACTAATGTCCAAAAGAAAGTATACGCTGTGCATTTCGTCCTGCTTCAAAGTTGTTTTTCCATTGTATAAGGTATTTGGGTACGATGTCCATTTGTTTTGCCTTTTATTTGCTTAGAAATATTGAGTTTGGATGCACGAGACATGTTCAGTGTAGTTTTATCACATTTTGTTGATTTAAACAAAACTTAGTCATTTTTTTTTAGGGTGTATGCTTTCTTTTGGACAGTAGTATATACAAATGTACAGAAGTTGTACACCATATGAATTACAGGATGTGGGCATTAATATTTAAGTGTCTGTCAACAATATCATACAATTTGAACCTTCAGGGGAGTATTCTAAAATTTTCTACTGTGTATCATTACTATCCTATTAGTATTATATCTCTTATATATGATGCCTGCAGGTAAATACTGAAAAGTAAGTGTTCTGCTTAAGCACGCACATTATTTTATTCAGATTAAGCTTTACATTTGAAACCTGTATAACATTATTTTTTCATATATGGTAATATTGATAATTATATTGTGGGACTGTTGTATTTCTTTTTATCAGGGGCATGAACATATATATAATGATCAAATAAAAGTGTTGGGTTCAAAGTGTAAAAGGAATGGAATTTAACATCACATCAATACAATATTTAAGACTAACATATGGCAATATTCATTTTAATAATTATGTGTGCTATGCAAACGTGAGAATTTTGCTAGGACAGCGGTATTTACACTGTTTCGGCTTACTCTTATTCAAATTCCAACTTCCAACTGCTATGGATGGCCTTTGGATTTTTGTCCAATTTGAAAGACTAGACAAACATCCCTTGTCAGCCCCACATACATAACCCCCGACAAGTTGGAATGAGGTTTAAATAATCCTAAAGGTTCTTCTCGGTTTTCACTGAGATTTGAATGCATGACAGTCTAGTCGGGATGCCAATGTCATAGCTGTAGACCACCACAGCGACATTAAAAAACAATAAAAGACATTATAACTAGTAATTGCCATGCAAGATATGCCCACATTTTGCAAGGGATGGACAGAAAACAAGCTAAAAATATGAAGTGATTTTTCTTACAATCAGGGGACACATTTCAGGAAGTTATAGTCCGATATGCGCTAATATAAAAAGGAATCGAAAACTCTGGGATGTAAACATATATTTCAAGTTTCATCAAAATCAGATAAAAGTTCTGTTTTCTAGAGCAGTAGAGGGTTTACAACCTTGTTATAACACACTTTTACACTATTTGCGTGCAAGGAGCGGCCATTTTTGTTGGGCCGCTTCGGTCTGATTTTCACAAAATTCAACTCCGCCTTCATTAGGTTGTAACACTGATATATTTAAACTCTTTTTTAAAATCAGATAAAAATTGTGACCTCTAGTGGGTCCACAAGCTAAAAACTAGATTTTTTTGTACAATCAGGGGCCATAATCCAGGAAGTTACTATCCAATATGTGTGAATATCGACAGGAACCTGGATCTTTGGGATAAAAACATATATTTAAGTTTCATCAAAATCAGACAACCTTGGTATTACATACTTTTACACACTATTTGCAGTTTCGGTCCTATTTTTACGAAATTCAAACTCAATCATCATCAAGGTGTAACGGTGATATATAAACACATGTTTAAAGTTTCATCAAAATCGGATCAAAACTGTGACCTCTAGAGGTTCCACAACCTTGATATTACATACTTTAACACTATTTGCGTACATAGAGCGGCCATTTTGTTCGGCAGTTTCAGTCCGAATTCGAACTCAATCATCAATATGGTGTAACGGTGATATGGTGAAATGGCAGTTTCAGTCCGAATTCGAACTCAATCATCAATATGGTGTAACGGTGATATATTTGAATGGTTTTTTTTAATCAGTTAAAAAGTGTGACCTCTATGGGGACCACAAGCTAAAAACATGATTTTTTGTACAACCAGGGGCCATAATCCAGGAAGTTGCGGTCCGATATGCGAGAATATCGAAAGGAACCGAGATCTTTTGGTTATAAACATACATTTCAAGTGTCCACAAGCTAAAAACATGATTTTTCGTACAATCAGGGGCCATGGGCCATAATAGTATAATAATATATGAAGCTTTGATTCAATACATGCCAATATCGAAAGGAACCAAGATCTTTTAGAGATAAACCTATATTTCAAGTTATGTCAAAATCGGCTAAGAATTGTGACCTGTAGAGTGTCCACAAACAAATTGTGGATGGGCGACGACAATATAAATGAAAATTTGGGACATAAAAAAATGTTTTACTTGTATGTATAGTTTTCTCTAATCTTGGATGACATTCTTTTAATTTTGTAATGATGGTGTTTGTCTGTATCAAGGCCAACTGGAACAAAGAAAAAAAAATATTCACAAAAACAAAGATAACCGTGTCCTGGTAGCAAGCAACCTATTTAGTTGATTTGCATACTTCCAAATTTGTAACACTGATATAGTTTATCAAATCAGAAATTAATAAGATAGGTTGCCAGGCAGCGAAACATACGCCCACAGCAGATAAGTCGTCCGAGGAGTCAACAGGGGTTGTCATATATTTTTTCTTTTGTCAGAAATGAAAACACTTACTACACACTAAAATATTATTACGAGTAACAACGCATTTCTGCCCTATTCTAACATTTAGCATACAAAACATTTAATAGCAATTGCCATAATCATTGGAAATCATTGGAAATTGATAGGCTTATAAATAAACACCTTATAAATAATAGTCAGTCGGATATTAACTTTCGCCTCTAAAGCAGTAATTATTGGAAATCGTTGAAAATCAATGGGCTTCTTCGTCTCATGACCTTAAACACTGTGTATAAATTTAAAGTCAACCGAATATTAAAAAGAGCGTCTAGAGTGTCCACCAGATATTTCAAAGTGATCAATATTCTTCAAGGAACTGGAGTAGTCAATATTTACATGTACCATGTGCTAAAGGGTAAAATGTTCAATAATCCATCTGGGTACATTTTTGTGTGGATTAAGCCATAAAAAAATTGATTTATATTGGTCGAACAATGCCAATGACAATCAGTGGCTTTAATAGCAGTCCGAATACATAAATGACATCAAAACTTGACAATCCCATATTTTAAAATTCTAACAAGGAAAGGGACATGAAATTATTTTAATCTGTAAGCTCAGCCTGAGAACATGATCTTCAAATTGAAATTGAATTACATGTATATACAAAAAGATATAAAAAAAAGTGTTAATACTATTACAAAATGTTAAATTTTGCCTCGGTTAAATTGTTTAGTTACTGTATTAACATAAACATATTTGGCTTGTGACTTCACATCACTACCTTAGATATTATATCATTATCAACAAGATGTTTAAAGTTAACTCATCAGACAGTGTATCATTGACCTAAATCATAAAGATATGTCTTTAGATCGCAATAAATTGACAGTACTATTTCAGTAAGATTATATATACAGGGGTTGTTAAACGACAATTATTTGGAATTTTTGTTTTGTTTTTTCAAGTTTTAAATTTTTTGATCAAACCAGTCACTGACAAATTATGATGATCAAAGCATTCGTCAATTCATTAATGTCAAGATGGGCCTATTTAAATGGCAATAAAATAAGGAAAGAAACTTAAACCGTGGTCATCATTATTTACGTTGAATAAATTAATGTAAGACTGATATCTATAATGTACATCCTGATATACATGTATGATGGTTTTTTTTAAAAAAACAAAAATAAGAATGAAAAGGATGTGAACGTCATGTCATGCCCACTTCAATTATACTTCTATTAATAGTATAATATGTTTTATATAGGTAATATAAATCTACTGTAATTCGAACAGGAAATACTATACACCAATCAAAAAAAAATTACCCTTTTCCCTAGTTCAAACAATATGCTGTTGTACTCGATATATGTACACACTTTTAAGTACATCTAAAACACATTGCTAGTGATAGTGTCCTGATGCAGACAGTCCAGATGTAAAATACTTCATGTTTTTTTAATTTCTATTTAATCTTTACACTTAATAAAGGACCGTAGGCCTAGCCTATCTGATGTGCAGTGGGGCATCTACTGTCCAGTTTTGCTGAAATACCATTTGTTGATTTTATGGCTTTGTTATATGGCTTAAGTCTACTTCCATCAAGGGCGATATCGCACATACAACAAAACTACCTGACTTACTAATTACAAGTCTTTTTATAGTCTTTTACGTCACACCATTCTGTTTCATGTGATACATGAAGAATGTAATCGGTAATTTTTATGGAAAATTCTGCAAGACTTGAATTTTGTACCTAGTTCAGTCATAAAAAAAAACCCAGTCAAATTCATATCATAAATATGATAATTCATCAGCAGTGGGCTAAATTACACCAAATGAACCTGATATACGGGATCTAGAATTAATCCTAATGTATACAAAGCAATCAAAGTTAATCTACTGAACAAATATTGAATGAACCATTTCATTTTCAATGTTGCTGGTGAATAACAAATGAAAACTGTATATACATGTAAACTGTGAAATTTAAATCCAAATTTTGAAGAAAAACCAACCACAAGAGTATGAGCTATCAGATGCAACATTTATCAGTTGTTCAAGAATCAATGTATTTCCAAAGTACAAGAAAACACTGCCACTTCATCCATCTGTCAGAGAGATAAGGGGCATTTTTGTTGTATAATAGTCTAAAGAGGAAAATACTAGAAATTTGTGACAATTTCAGTAGAACTTGTTTCGAAAGTGTTTCTATACATCGCAATAACTAGAACCTTGCGAAGAGTGTTGCAATATCATGAAAATTATACTTTTTCTCAAAGAATAATGAAATGTTATCTGGACCCTTATTCACAAAAACTTAAACTAAATTTTAAGAAATACTGCAATTCGATTGGCTGACCAGTAAAATCAATTTGCATATATCCAATGAAGTTGCAGTATTTCTTAAAATTTCTGTTGTAACTTGGTTTAAGTTTTCGTGAATAAGGGCCCTGTGTTAATTTTGATCCATGTTTAATTTTGTATAGGTCTACTTCCAAGCAGATGTAAAGACAATACTTGTCAATTCAAAACTCAGAGACACAATCATCTGTTAAACATATCAACCATTTGATAAAGACACAAATAAATTTTCTTATGACACTCTTCCCCAAAACTTCTAAATTCTGAATTTTTTCATTCAATTGCAAATATACAGGTTTTCAATTGTACAAACCTATATTGCCATATTTGGTTTCTTACTTGTAATGTTTTCCAAATTATTAATTAGACATTAATTAACTTATCCAGACCATAATCAACTCTTGATGGCATCGCTAGCCTGTGATATTTACTGGAATAGAACCCAGTCTGCTGCTTCTGATTTATTCATGAAATGGATAATCAAGACAATGATTTTTATTGTACCGAATTTAGTAATGATGATCGAGGTTAGGCCTAAAATTCAATCGCTAAATACTCGTTTCAGGGTGGATCAATTTGATCGAAATTTTCAGCAAATTCCCTTTACATTATCTAGTTTTTAACTATTATAGTCAGAACTGCCAGCTCTTTATCTAATCTCCCATAATGTATCTTTAAAACTTTCAAAACAAGTTCTACTGAAATTGGTCCAAGTATTTTCCTTTACTATGATATAAATGTGGTAATTTGTAATCACTCTTTTATTTGTTGTTGATTTGTTATAAATGGTTCTACCCATAACATTGAATTGTGTTACACAGATGAAATTCTGTATATTTACCAAATATTGTACTTATATAAAATGTGTACAATAATATCTTTATATATTTTGCTTTATTAGCTTTTACTGGTAATTTCTATATTTTTTTTAAGTTTCATTGCCTTGAACATGATAGATTATAGTTTTGAGAAACTATTAATTGTACCCTGTACAATGTAGACTACAGAGTGAAGGGCTTGGTGACCTGTACATTCACAGATATATATATTTTATTTTCAAATCCAATGTTTTTCTATGAAAGGTGTTGATTACAAATACCACAACACATAACCCTGAATGTTCTATTAAAGCCACATGGTAAAAATGTGTATGTGCACATATTGCAATAGCTTTCACAAATCTATTTTAAATTTGTCTTGGTATCTAAAAGAAGTTTGATGGATCAGAAGTTTCTTTGACCCACTTTCCATTTCCCTCAAAATTACCCACCCCACCCAAAAGACTTCAATGTTACTTGAGCTAAAAAAGAAAACAGTGCTAAAAACCATGAGATAATTCTTATAATATTGTTTTAGCCATGATTGGAAGATTTGGATCCCTTTAATTTCACATGGAAAATCATTTTGTTTACTATTAATAAAGTATTGTTTGGAAATTATTTTAGACACATTACCACTAGGTGAAACGAGTTGCTTTGAGCTGCAAGAGGCGTTCAGGTCACCCTTTTTCAGTTGCATTCAGTTGCCGAAACGCCAGTTGCTCTCACTCTCAGTTGTAAGGTTGACAAAGTCCCCCTTTATGTAAGAGCTAAACCTGCCTATTGCAGATCTTCCTTTTGTCTTCAAATGTTATATAAATTATTATTGAGACATTTATTCTAGACAATCGGAATGACTGAGATTTAATTGGATTTAAACATCCGCTAAATTTAAAATTTAATGATAAAATGGACAATCGAGACTAAGTCTTGGTTGTCAAGTGCCATTGCTACACTACAATATTAAAGTAATATGAATGAAATTTTCAACATATTCATTTTTCATTATCTTTTTCTGAACTATTATGGCAAGAACGTCCAGCTCTTTAACTAAATCTTACATGAATCTTTAAGCTTATCTTCACATCATTGACCCTTTCTCATCAATCATATGAAGATAGGTTGCCAGGCAACGTAACATACACCCACAGCAGCTAAATCGTCCGAGCAGTCAACAAGAGTTGTTACATATTTTTTCTATTGTCGGTAATGAAACATTTATAATACACTAAAATCTGATTAAGAGTAACAACTCATTAAGTAATTATCCGAAAATCATTAGAAATTGTTTGGCTTTTAGTTCTGCCCCATGCTAACGTTTAATATACGAAACATTTAATATCATGGATTTAGCTGTTCAAGTTATCAAAATTCATTGAAAATCAATATACTTGTTCGTCTCAAGACCTTAAACTCTGTTTATCAATCTAAAGTCAATCCGATGATAACTTTGGTCGCTAGAACATCCACAAGTGATAAATTTAAAGTCAATCGGATATTAACTTTGGCCTCTAGAGCATCCACAAGATATTTCAAAATAATCAAGGGCATGAACACTAGCAGTAATTATCGGAATTCGTTGAAAATCAATAGACGTCTTCGTCTCATGGCCTTAAACACTGTGTATAAATTTCAAGTCAATCGGATATTAACTTTAGCCTCTAGAACGCCCACAAGATTTTTCAAAGTGAACAACTCTGGTAGTAATTATCTGATATCATCGAAATTACTGGGCTTCTTCGTATCACAACTTTAAACACTGTGTATATATCTGAAGTCAATGAGATATCAACTTAAGCCTTAGAGCGTCCACAAGATATTTCAAAGTGATCAAGGGCCATAACTCTGGCAGTAATTATCGGAAATCGCTGAAAATCAAAAGGCTTCTTCATCTCACTAATGTAAACAACATATATCAATTTCAAAACAATCAGATGATAAATATAGTCTGTAGAGTGTTCACAAGAAATTGTGGACGACGGACGGACGTACGTATGTACTGGGCGACAGCAATACATGTATACGACCACATTTCCAATGTGGGTGTATAAAAATCAGTATTAATGCCTGAAACAACAGTATCAAACTGATAGACCCAATAAACTGGTTTAATCAAATGAAATGGTAATCTGTATGTACACACAGGTGATGGGTAAAGTATGATGCAATGATAGTTTTTACCATACCATACAATCAAAGTCCTCTTATTGTTCCCTGTAAACTGATTAAACACCCTTGCACATCATGATAAACCTATAACTTTTCAATAAATAAGCAATGAAAGAATGTGATGTAACAATATTTGATGGACTTGTTGGCCGGTTACACATGTAGGCCCTACAATTACAATGTCTATAGTATGATTAGTTTTTAGAAATTATTATCAAACTTCTGTAAACATGTATCATATTGGCCTTGCAGGTGTTAGTGAGAGCAAAATCAGAAAAAAAAACAATTATTATCTGTTGTTTCAATTGCATTTAGTAATTGAACTGAAATACACAGGTCACAATTCTATGGAATACAATAACTACTTATTACTGAGGCTTCTCTAGTCTTTATCAAGCAATAATAAAATATGAAATGTAACGATATATAGTTGGGGTTTGTTGGTGGGTCACGATACGACATGTCATGTATTGCGACAATACAAAGAATTTGGTGTAAACATTAATATAATGACATTTATAAATAAATATGAATGCAACTTCTTATTAAGCAAGATAAATGTACCATGTCATGTAAATGTCACCACGAAAGCAGACGACATATATAAAAATAACAAAATTTATAACAGCTAAGCGATATATCGCGATGCAAAACGATACCATTTATTACGAAGCTCTGCATCACGATACTGATACGTAGCAATGTATCGTTCCACCACTATACAAGTAGAAACAATACTTTGTTAATGCCCTAATTACATTTCAGATTTTATCATTGCTTAATAAAGACTAGATAAACCTAGTGAAAATGTCGCTCAGTAACAAACAGTTATTGTATTCCATAGAATTAGGTATGAATGAGTGAAATAGTTTGGTGTGAGGCTGTATGGGGGATTCCCAGAGAATTTGATAAAATCAGAAACTCTGAGACAAAGTTTCTGCTCATTTAGGTATTAAGCATCTTATATACATTTGTCTATTTATACAAATTAGTTACTTAGAAAGTGTTGACATAAACATATAATTATTGAAGGATTCAGATTTAGGCATTTAAAACAATAGTTAGAAGAAACTTAACAGATCAACCCCTTTAGTTGTCATAATTTGACTGACAGGTTAATTGCTGCCTGCCTCTAATGACTAACCAAGCATTAATGAATATTAAAATATAGATTTGAAATTTAAAACAGAATTAAAAAATAATAAAATAACATATGACCTAGACACCAGTCATATTACTATAGAATTTGATAAAATCAGAAACTCTGAGACAAAATTTCTGCTCATTTAGGAATGAACGAGTGAAATAGGGTTTATAATGTCCTACTTTTCTCCATCTGCCTACATATTACATGTACATGTAAAGGATTAGTAAAGTGGAGTGAGGCCAAAACTGCGGCAATGCTTTGCATGTTTGTTTGACATTATTTCGATTAATGAAGGAGAAAAAAAAGATCTTCTGTATCTGTAGTGTGGGCTGGGCCTGGGGTGGGTTCTGACCTAGTCTGGACCCCTAGAACCCTCATCTGCACACACACCTGACATAATACTATAAGTATAACTATAGTAGGCCTACACCATTAATCAGCATTTCATATTTAATATAAATATGTAATAATTAATAAAACAAATATCCTGTTCCTGTTATGATGTCAATAGAAATGAGTCAAATACAATGACTGAACTAAAAAACACATAAAATAAACACTTGCCGTTACCCTATATGTATCTCTAATAATAGCAGCTAGCCTAATTTTAAAATTATAATGTAATTTATTATTAATAATAAAGATATTATTAAGAACATAACTACAGGCTTTAGACTTTGCATGTAAAAACAGATACATTTTAAAATATTCACACTAATAACTTTAAATTATTATTTAGTTGGATAAATTAAGTATCTATGACAATGTTAGGCTAAATATCTGCCAATAATTTTATTTTGGCAATAATAAATAGTCAGTCACGTCACCTCATATTCATGTCGTCGAACCACAGACACAGAGTAAAAATCGAACTCAACTTTCAAGGACTATCCAAATCATCAAATCAAGATAACCACCATAAAATATAAGTGATTTGTAATATTTTACAAAATTTCTAAATAAACATTTTACCTGACTCTTCCTGGACCCAACAACAACTGTGTTTTCTGACATCTTGTGACTTCTCTCAAGCCGACAAGTTTAGGGTAGCTTGCTACCAGTGTAAAGTCATCACGTGATCAACATTTATTTTCTAGACTCAGTCAATCCAGTCTATTCACGCGCTCATATAACCATTTAAAGTCGCTAACTCAGTAGCTCAATATCATCCAAAATCTTCGACATTGTAAACACGATTTTTTTTGCAATTTAAATCAGCATTGGTGTTGTGGTCTTACCTGGAAAAGATGGGCTTCTGATATCCAATATTTAAGACAAAATAAACATTTTACCATTGGTACACGAATCGTGTACCAGAATGCGTTTCAGCGCCATTTGTAATAACAAGGTGCTCAAAGGATGAGGCTAGACATATTCCACAAGTCATGTCAAACGGTGATGCCATATTCTTATTTGTAGAGCATGCGCAATGCTACTATTGGTGTTGACTGGAATAACCAGACGCTAGAAACTGTCTTTCGGTTGAGACTTCTGGCGTATTTCGCCGAACATAACTGATGACAATTCACAGTAAAACGGAAACGATTGAATGTAAAACAGTTTATATAAATTCATATTACATTATTATATGCGTTGCGACCCATTTGTGCCAATTTCTAGGCCCAAAATATTAGCGATTTAGCTCCTTTAACTCCGCTCATTCGATAGACTGACTACCAACCAGGTAAAAACAATGAGGACTTTATGAACATAAAGGCTAAAAAAATTCGTCATAACGGCCAAAGAAGAAACATTTACATACATGTAGACATAATATTTACATACATAGATAGATAGACATAGATAATATTTACAATAGGTCCTACCTACATTTATATAGACATTTATTTAATACATAATTTACCATAACACTACAGACAGCTTTATGGATATAACATTCACTAAGTTTATTAACTGCAACGTTTCATTGAGGACACTCTCATGAGGACACTCTCACCGTTATCAAGCAATGATTTAAAGCAATGAAAACGGTGAGAGTGTCCTTATTGAGACGTTGCACAGTTAAATCGTTAAATCGTAGATCGGATTCAAATCTGTTTAAAATCGTACCGACCAAATGGCATCGAGAGTTGGTTATGGTCTTGTCATGTTACTAAATGTCTAGTTAATAGTTTTTATAACAGTTAAGGCCTAAAGATTCAGCTGAAGGATAATGCACGTTTAAATAATTACATAACAGGACCATGCATTGTGCAAATTCTTAAAATATTTGAAACATTAATTGCCCTCTCTATATTCACTCTATGAATTAAATATTTCTTCTTGTCGGTCTCTACTATTTTTTTAAAAAAAAACGACAAAGTTTACCCAAACATTAAGCTAAGTGACAGAAGTTGTGCCTCATCATAAAAAAGAAAATTTTACCAATTTATAGAGCCCAAACACGCCACTTCGAATAACCCTGGCTGGTCTAAATGGAGTAGTTTGGTCCGTTTCTAAAAACCTGGATTAATGTTCAACTCGCGTTATCTAATCAGATTAATTAGGGATAATCCAATCAGTTGATTAATTAGTCCTCACCCCTTTCCTTGGAATGGACGTAGCCGTATCTTGTTGAAAGTAAAGCCAAAGAGGTAAATGAAATGAAATGAAATGGGGTTTAAAGTCCTACTGTTCTGCTCCTAAACTGGGCTAATGAAGACGGGCATACGCCATACAGTGTGCTATGCGGGAAAGTTTGCCCGGGCAGCGGCGCTACGGCCTACTCTTATATCGAATTCCAACTGCCAAGGGATCTTTTACGTGCACACCAATATGTACACGGGACCTCGGATTTTCGTCCCATCCGAACGACTAGACAGCTGTCCTTGTCAGGCCCTCCATCCTGCATCACTGACAAGGGGGAACCACGCCGGAAAATCTGGATGAACTTTATCGGTCAATGCAGGGATCGAACACCCGACCTCCATGCTAGCGAGCCAGCGTCTTACCCATTTTCACTAGTCAACTTATTTTTCCATCCTGATTTAATTTTAATTTTAATAATGCTATATTGTATGTCTTCGGTCTCACAGAGGTTGAGTCCGTTACAAACATGATTGTCTGCAAACTAATTCCTATTACTATGCCGCAAATACAAATTCCTGGCTACTATATTCTATATGATCCAATTGATTCCGTGACAACCTCTCCTTCGCTAATTTGTCGGCTTGTTCGTTGCCGAATATATTTACTTGCGAAGGGATCCATGCAAGGATCATCTCTCTCCCACTGGTTTTTATCCTTTGGTTCAGATTCCTAACTGCGTGAATTAAGTCATGCCAGCTTTTTGAGCCGCTTAATTTTATAGATTTGATGGTACTAAGAGAGTCAGACAGGATTACGCCTTTTTTATTTGCCTGCGTAGCTAGCCATTCTAGTGCAGTTTAAATGGCTATGAGAACGTTCTGGTAGCCTTTTCCTGATACTCAGCTTTGCTTTGGGTATGTATATGAATATGACATAGCCTGTTGCCCGCTTTGTAGAATCTTTTGATCCATCCGTACATGTATTTATTTTGTGATGGTCGGTCCATTCAGAGTCTATTAATCCCATTGCTAGTGCTCTAGCTTCTAGAGGGTTGTTGCGTTTATTTGTGGTTTCAGTTAGGTATGTTTTAGTGATTGGATCACTTAATTTTAATAATCGTTCCTTTAAGATTGTGCTTAGATATCATTTGACATTTGCCGGAATGTTTTGGGCCTGGCGACTTTTCTATAATCTATTCACCTGAACTGCTTAAAGCAGTTGTATGTTAGACATCTGTCTTTGAGCATTTGCAGCTTGCCCAAATATTCGAGTGAGAGTTATTCTCGCCTGAGATCAAGCGGAGGCTCTCCAACTTCGTGGGAAAGGTCGATAGGTTGATTTTTCGTCCTTGTCCTTGTTATGCTTATGCAGAGGAATAACTGAAACAGTCTTCCTTTCTTGTGGGGTTTTACCTTGAGATCATGAGAGATTAAAGATATCGAGGACTAGTGATTTCTCGGGTAGATTTTTTAGCATCTTGTATTTGACTGTTAAAACAGTCTAGCCCTTCTGCACAGCCAGCTTTAGTGAGCAGGTTTTAAAGTCTGTTTTGTCATCCTTATCATTTTGCACTATCTGGTTCTTATTCTTCAAGAACCTACTTTTGTTATCTTTGCGAATGTTTCATTGCGTGGGCTTTTGTCCCTTGTAAGTTTGCCTTTGTGAGTGTTGTTTGACGCCATCTTATTTTTAAGGTATTTTTGTCTTAGGTTTTTCCCATTAATGGCTGAAATTTTGTTCCATACTGTGATCATGCTCGTTCGATCGTTAAGGGAATTAAAAGGTTTGCCAATATTCTTCTTTGGTCCTGCTAACAAGGGATAAACCTGTGATGGACCTGGTTACTTGTTAGCAAAATGGATTTTGGCCGTTATGGCTTAGTGCCGTTATGAACAAGAAAATAATTTAGGCTACGTGTTTTATTCTACGAAGTTGTTGCACTTTAAATTATGCTTCTACAATTTCTAGCTGTTTTTAAGTGTTTATTTTAGTTTCAATGGGATGCGATCTTCGAACTAGAAATGGCAACACTACCCTATTAGAGAGCTTCACGAGACGAACGTCTGGATAATTGATCTACCGGATGTAAGATTTAAAATGGTGAACGTGACGAAAGGCATATTGGTTGAATGTGATCCTGCTATGAAACAATTTTTGTTGCATTTAGATGAAAAAAATGCTCTTGGTCGAAAATTTGTGATTCAGGATCTAGATGAAACCCATCTGTTTATTTCTAGTGACATAATAGAAATTCTTCAAGATAGAATTGACGATCTCATGGACAAACTTTCCTTTCCACTGGCCGAAAAGTAAATGAAATTGAAAGTAGAGATTAAAGCAGAGTATATAATAATACTGGTAATTATATCTATGCTCAGAGAAACTGCTCAGCAACTGTAAAAAGAATTTTCTATAGATAAAAAGTAGGCAAACTATTTAAATTTGTTATTGTTTAAAATTATCATTATAATATAAGATGATGAAATGGAAAGAATTTCAATTATTTTTTAATTATATATTTGCCAATTTTTAATTTTTACTAGGCTATACCAATTGGTTCCTTTAGGAGGGACGGTTTCTGATCGGACCAAGTCCTCTAACCATTTACATATTTCCCTATAACTGCAAATAAAGCTTTATTTCTTCCCACCTTTTCTAAGGCTACTTTGGAATTCTTACCGTCTATTTTTTACCGTGATTCTAATTCAGTAATTGTTTGCCAGAAGGAATCATTTCTTGCCACATCTGTCTCTGACATAAATTTATAATAATTCAACACTATTTTCAAGTAGAATTGTCCGATTCAAAAACACAAGTAAATTCGTTTGAATTGTTCTGCAATGATGAAATCCATGCTTTCGCAGAGCGGAGCTCAAGGGTTCGTGGCTATGCTTAGCCAATATTCCAAATCTAGGAATGGAAATTACAGTAAATGAAAATTCTTGCTGTACTTCAATTATGGACTAATTATCAGCCTATGCTAATGTTGGAATCGATAATCGGCTATCTCTAGTTAAAGATTATCTGATATTTAAAACTTTACGGGCATTAATAAACAAAATGAGTTTGCATGGTGACAGTAAAAGCTCCATTCGTAACTAAAATCAAACATATCAGACATATCTCAACATATAGCGACGATCTTGTAGTTGTAGCTATTTGTCCTTGAAGGGTGTTTCAACTTTAAACTACATGTGCTTGCAATTGTCTTGAATGGGCATGTCAGATTGTGTGTCAAATCTGTGACTCCTGATTATTTAGTACTGTTAGTAACTGTTAGCAGTTAGTAATTATTATGTATGATATGCTGTATCAGTAGACATTGTAATTGTCTAAATCATTTTCTGTACAGTATCAAACTTAATTTCCTACAAAGAGCACAGGGGCAACAACTCAACAACTAGCACCAGCCTTACCTTCAGATGTAATAATGATGTTATATTAAAGTGATAACTTGTTAAGTACATTTAAAAATGGAATAGGGTCAACCCTGCACTTCAGAATACATTGTAACAATTAAAATTATGTTTTATTTTACAGTGGATGTAGACAACCAAATATTCAAATGGCGCTGGTATCCTGTTAAGCGCCGACTACAACCTGAACATATATTATTTGAAGCTGGTGACAAAGCTTGTCATCAAGGCTCTAAGATAATTCCAATAGATAATGCTAACAGTGATGACTATATTGAAAAGTATGTTGATTTTCTTAATGTAATTTTCAATTTGAGAGTTATTCCCCTTTCCTGCAAACTGAGGCTGTATTTTTTGACAGATTTTTTCCAAATTTGGTGGGAAGCATTGTGGTTATGAGAGTAAGAACGCTATCGATTCAGTCTCCATAGTCTCGGTCACCCATTGCCCATGCGTAACCGGGAGTTTGGTTTTTAATGTGGTTGATTATCCAGTATCTTCTGGCCGAGTCAAGTAAGAGTTGCACGCCTTCCCGTAGTAAATCCTATAATTCTTGCATTAATATAAACAAACATGAATCATGACGACGAATTAGGATTAATTTTAAAAAAACATAAATATGGCCCATGAAGAGAGAAATTTTACAATAAAAAAATAAGAGTGTTGGATATTGTTGGTATGCAATCAAATGGATTTTTTGAAATGGCATTCTTGAATTAATTTCATGGGTGTCAACATATTGTTTTAGGACTATTTACTTCCCTTAGACTTTGTTTATTCAAAGATAAAGTAAAAGACCGGATAATCTCGCCAATGACCTAATTTTCTCAAATGTTGACAATGCATCCAGACTAATATTCGGAGAATATTTTCTGAATGATAGAGACTAAGTCTCCTGTGACTTTTTATTCCGGAGTTAAACATCCCACTCACTCATTTGTAACAGCACCAACAAATTGAAAGTAGATTTAAATTGCTGCTACAGCGGATATTGTGACCTGGTTATGAATCATATTGCAGCACTTGAAGAGCTATACACATATCTTTTGAGAAATCTTTTGATAGTACAGGCCACATGAATACAAAATACAATTTATTTTGTAGAATACCAATATTTCCATGTAGTATAACTGGCTGTGGTGAAGTGTTTGATAATATATCAAGGTAGGTAACTCTTTATTTATTTAAGGAGATTGTTCCGAATCTGTAGCATCTTAATCTGGAGTAAACTAAATAGCTGAAAAGATACAATATTACAAAATATACTTGGCCTGTATTCTTTGATAGACTGGTATTGCATCTTACTTAAGACGAAAAATCAGGAAATTAAGATGTCCAGGCTTGAAAAATCAAGGAGATTTCACATCTTAATTTGTGTGTCATTATGGCCAACGTTTTGCACATTTGTTTCCATGAGATAGATAGAATTAAATATCATAATATTTATTAAATTCTTCAATGAATTTTCTGATCACAAACTATGTTACATACAGCACCTCCAATCATAACATATCAAAATATATAGTCCCATTCATTATAAAATCATTTATTTTGTGAAATGTATCAAAGTATCTCTTTAAACAATCTTGTGAAATTTTCATCCTTCAAACTTTACTGTACATGCTTTACATGAAATCATCAAATTACTGATGTAAATCCAATCCTTACAAATTCATATTATTATGTCCTAATTTTTTTGATAATTCGAGAAAGAGCCTGTCTCCTGAGATATAGAACTATGTTGTGGAAGCTATTCTATGTGTGTTTCTATTTGATATACTTTATTTGTAGGTATGAATCTCATTATAACACATTACATCGTAATATTTGTACTGTATGTCGTCGAGTGTTTCCATCTAATTATTTACTAGAAATACATCTACAGGAATGGCATGATGCCATGTTTGAAATTCTAGCAGCGAAACAGAATATGGTAAGAAACTTTGGAAAAAACAAATAAAAATTCAATATATTTTAAAAATTAATTTGTTAATGAACTGAAGGCTTTTTGAGGCCATTGCTGTTTAAAGCCAAGTTATTGCGCATGGTACTTTTACATATTCATGTGGACGTATTGTGCTGTCGCCCCTGTCCGTCCGTCCACAATTGTTGTGGACCCTATAGAGGTCACAATTTTTATCCGGTTTTAATGAAACTTGAAATGTAAGTTTACAACCCAAAGATCTCGGTTCCTTTCGATATTTCCGCATATCGGACCGTAACTTCCTGAATTATGGCCCCTGATTGTACGCAAAAACGTGTTTTTTGGCTTGTGGACCCTATAGAGGTCATAATTTTTATCCGATTTAAAAAAACGTATTATTATATCACCGTTAAACTCTAAGGACGGCTGAGTTTGAATTTCGTGAAAATCGGCCCAAAATTGACAGACAAAATGGCCGCCGTTCGTTCTCAAATAGCGTAAAAATATGGTATATCAAGGTTGTGGACCCTATAGAGGTCACAATTTTTATCCAATTTTGTTGAAACTTGAAATGTAAGTTTATAACCCAAAGATGTCGGTTCCTTTCGATATTTGCGCATATCGGACCGTAACTTCCTGAATAATTATGGCCCCTGATTGTACGAAAAATCGCGTTTTTAGCTTGTGGACCCTATAGAGGTCATAATTTTTATCCGATTTAAAAAAACGTATTATTATATCACCGTTACACCCTAAGGACGGCGGAGTTCGAATTTCGTGAAAGTCGGCCCAAAACTGACAGACAAAATGGCCGCCCTTCGTTCTCAAATAGCGTAAAAATATGGTATATCAAGGCTGTGGACACTATAGTCAGGTCACAATTTTAATCCGATTTTGTTGAAACTTGAAATATAAGTTTATAGCACAAAGATCTCGGTTCCTTTCGATGTTTGCACATATCGAATTGTAATTTCCTGAATTATGGCCCTTGATTAGGAAAAATCACTTTCTTTTTAGCTTGTTCTCTATGCATCTCTCGAAAATGTGGGCGTATCCTGCCTGGCAGCCGCTGGTTGTAATGTTAAATTTGAGCAATTTTATTGACTGCGAGAGTATTGATATTTCAGTACCAATGTCTAGTAGAACATTGTTTAGAAAAATTTAAATCCTGTAAACAGAGAAAAAAACACATGGTAGAGCTTCACCATATGCCAGCAAATTACAGATTTGATAAAGTGAAAAAAAATAGGTAAGTAGAAGCAATATTTAAACACTTGATGTCTGGATATCTATGAAAGACATTACAATTGGAATTAAGGATGTAAACGGTCACTTGGTTAACTGGTCAGGGTTCGGTTGCACTGTTGAACCGGTTCGAAAAATTACTAATCGGTATTCGTTTTCGTATGATACCTGGCCCCGAGTTCACAAAGCATTCTCAGACTTAATTTAAGATTTACTTAAAATTGTTTTAACTAGACTATAGCCCTTAATAAAACTTTGGTTGTTTTAATGTATCAAATACATCACCGAGAAACTATGTGCAAAGTTTTGTGTTTCTGGATCTAAGATATTTCTAATAATCAGTGCTTGATAGTTGAGTAAATACTTAACTTAAGTCTGAGGATGCTTTGTGAACTCTGGGCCTAGCCTTCAAACCCAGGAATGGTAGCCACAACATTGTTTTCTTTCACTAAGACCACATAAATACCTCAAATAGCACTTGTCATTTGTAATAAGTATCAAAAAAGAGAGGATTCCCGGCAACAAACTTCACAACACTGTGTAGATGGTTTAAAAAATTATAATCTAGGTCTGGAACATGTTTCGGGCTGTCCGCCCTTCATCAGCCAGAGTTGTGTACATAAATGATATAACAAAATAATCCAGGCTATATGTACAAAAGTATTTGGCGCATGCGCCTTAGTCTCAATTTATATAAAAAATAATCCCTAGACTGGGATTAGAAAAAAATGAAGGTTTTTCAAATAGTGTGAAGTTTGTTGCCGGGGATCCTCTCTTTTTTGATATTTTTCACGGATCGGTTCCTGCTTATCCCCGGATGTACCACTGAGATCCAGACTTGCCTGCACTGTATTAGGGAATCTTCCGCCCTCCTTTTTTTCGAGTGTGGTGGTTTTATCGTCCTTTACTTGGATTTGTAATAAGTCTTGGGAAGTAAACGTCTTTAAATTCCCGCTCCAAATTTTGTATACGTTGTATGCATTACATAGCCTCAACTGATTGACAAATTAATTTTTTTACAGTATATTTTAACCTCATCACTCCATGAACAAGGTTTTCAAAATGAAAAAAAGTTTGTTGTGATGAAATAATATTAAAATAGACAGAGTAAAATAGGTTTTTATTATCACTCAAGTGTGCAATGCTGTGCCGATCGGGTCAAAGTTGACGACATACGGGTCACTGGTACCATACGAATCAGCATGACTTGTAATAGAAACAGTGTAGTAAATTCTTTGGAATTAGCTGATGTAGCAACACTACGGCCTGTACTTTATTTGAATTCGAACTGCCAAAATTTCTTTTATGTGCACGCCAATGTGTACATAGACCTCAGTTAACTGTACCATCCAAGAATACGGATACTCCTTCCTGCTTTATAGAGAAAGCCGTGATGAATTTTTCTGCCAACACCAGGATCCCTCCCTGGACCACCAGGCTAGATCTATTTGTTAAGGCCAACTCAATTTTCGTAAAGGTCGCTGAGATGTAAATATGGTTAGGGCACGTGATTGTTGGCGAAATTGTAGTTTAGGGTGAGAGTAAGCATTAGGGCTAGGTCTAGGGTTAGGGTTGGGATTAGCGCTAGCCCTGTTTACATCTTGTGACCTTTGACCAAACTTGAAGTTGGCCTTATCAAATGGATCTAACCCGGGACCACCTGGTTAGTGAGTCAGCGTTATACATGTACTTACCAAACCACCGTAGCCCCCCTTGAAGAGTATAAAGACAAATGATATATTAAACCTTGAATAATATATATTTAATAGATGTTGCATGTTAAAACACCTGTGACTCATTTTTATCCCAAATTGGATGTTTTTTTTAGAAAAGCACAGAATGCTGCTTCTAAAGCAGATGAGAAAAATATCAAAAATGATTATGGCATTGTACAACAAGAAAATAAATGTATGGAAGATGAGGAATCGAAGACTACTGGTTCAGCTAAAAGAATATTTAGTTATAAGTAAGTCTAGTAAAAAGATGTAAGAGTTATTGCCCTTTTCACATACATGTAGATGATTGGGATACTGGATTAAACATTCTGGAATTAAATTCTCTCAATTCAAAGGAGAATTTCGGAGTACAACACATGTGCCGACTGCTTTAAAAATATGTCAACCAATCATGACAGCTGAAACATATTTGTTACTTAAAATACATCACGATTCTACTCACACCACCTCAGCTGTCGGGACTGGCAGAACTGTGACAGCCCTGAATTCCATATCACTTGATTGCAATTCTGTCAATTGCACCCCCGATTTGTCCAGTATCATAAGGGGGAGTTCTCTTCTGGATACCTAGCATATTATTTTGGAGTATTTGTTGTCACTACTGTCTGCCCCTTTGTCTGTTTACAATTCTTGTAAATCCTCAATAGATTAGAGTTTTTGATATTTTTCTTTTCATATCTGCTGTGATACTTTAGTTTGTTATTTCCTCAGTCGTCAAGGGTTTTAATTTTTAAGAATTCCTTATCTGAGATTGTTCGGCTGGTCATAAGAAGAACCCGTTCAAAATTTAGAGATGTGCATTGATTTTACATAATGTTATTGCCCCTGCTCCGGTAACTGAAACCATAGAATCGCTTTTGACGTCAGAATTTTTCAAAAATATTTTTTTAAACTTGCAGCTATTTCTTTGGTTAGTCATAAGGAGGATTGGATCATCTATTCTATTCTCAAAACATATTTTCATCTTAAAGTATGATATTTGTAATAACCCGGAAAAACACTAAATGAATTAAACAAGTTAAATATCAAATAGTTTTAACCACTAAGCAGGACATTGCTGTATTAGCATGTGTATTTTTCGCCTATTAATAATGAGTGCCAGCGCCAGTTCATCAAGACATTTGATGCAATATATCTTTAACTCTTAAAATACCAATAATTCATATTTGATTATTTACAGGGTACCTAAGAATATATGTTTTGGTCAAGGATCAGCTAGAGGTTTTAGTAGACCAGGACGTGGTCGAGGTAAACACTGGCACCAAACACATAAACCTACAGATAAAAAAACTACTGTTAATATAGAAAATATTGTTATGACTGACTTAACTGATGCACTAAATGTTAGCTGAAATATGTTCCGGAAAAACATATTAAAAATTATAATTTGATGTTTAGATGGATGTGTATTTTCATACTCGGCAGAATTTAAAACAATGAATTGATGATAGATATAGTCATCTTAGCCTATGACTTAGAAAGGGAAAATAAAAATCAAAAATCAGTACCATAGTGTAGTCTGGATCATACTAGTCTATATTATCTTTATTGAACTGTATACTCCAACAGCTAGACAAATAGTAACCCATTCTCCCAAGCATTGTTGTCTTCCCTTGCAATTCACACTAACTCTTTTGCGAAATATGAACTGCGCATGTTATCGTGCTAATTTTAGAATATGTACATGTGGATCTGTTTACCTTTTTAACACGATCGTCAGGCCATCTATTTCTAAGGTCAGGTCTATTACATTTGTTCCCATTAAACATAATCGGGTTAGAATCAGTTCCTTTTCAACACGCAAAATAGTCAATTAGACTGATTTTTTTAGGGGGTGGGGTCGGTTTGCTAAGGGTAGTAATTGACCAAATATTTACCTAAAATTTTATAACGCCAGAAACTTTACTGACAGACCATTTTCATCATGTAATTAATCATGTGACTGATGACCTCCGGGTCAAACCAGTGCAGAGTTGCATGCTGAATAGCGAGACTTGTGTGGAGAATACCAGTAACAACATAACCAATGACTGGAATGATCAAGACTACTCACTGTTCGTTTATTTTGTATAAAGAATTTTGCTGTACCCTTATGTAATTCATCCATAGATATATGTCCAGTATAATAAAGATGTTCTTTTATCATTCTAAATTGTTTTAGACGGTGGTGTCCTATATAAAAGGGGGGCGGGGGTTGGATGGCCGAATTGTTAGCACGTGTGTGCTGTATCATAAGGTCTGTCATTGAGTCAACTGGCGTGTTTTCGATTCCCCCGTTGTATGTGACAAGGAGTAGGGTTGCCTGTCCAGTCTGGTGGGTTTTCTCCGGGTCCTCCGGTTTCCTCCCACTGCCAAAGACCCCTACGCACAAGCCAATTATTGAAATAAAATTGAACAATATGTTAGTCCTGAAATGGTCTGGTTTGTGTTGAGTGGACGTTAAACCCCATTTCTCTCTCCCCCTATATAAAAAGTATTTAAACAGAATGTCTTGGCTATGTGAGCACCTCAAATGGAATGTGACATCAGGTGTTCACAAAACAGCAAGTAAACCCTGCCTTGTGGACAATACCTGTCCTTGAAGCTATTCTACTAAAAATTATGTTCTGAACACGAAGGGTTGAAGTCAGTGAAAATACATTCTAAATTCTTTTAAGTTATCAGCAAGAAATGGCGTAACAAGGAAATTTGTGCACGCCACTTCGGGGGTTTTCCTTGACTCAAATGTTTTAACAGCTTCAGTATTCAATAAAGTATAAACTGACATTGGTAGACTATAAATGTCATGATTAAAGTCAAACATTTTTGGTGAGCTAAAAGTTATGAGATTATTTTTATACCCATCCATTGACCTTCTTATCATTCATTTTTGGTCCCAGTTGGTCTAATTTGGGCTAATGAAGATGGGCATATGCCATGCAGCGGCACTATAGCCTACTCTTATATCGAATTCCAACTGCCAAAGGATCTTTTACATGCACACCAATGTATACACGGGTCCTCAGTTTTCCGTACCATCCGAACGACTAGACCGCAGTCCTTGTCAGGCCCAACATCCTGCACCACTGACAAGGGGAACCCACGCTGGAAAATTCTGATGAACTTGCTCGACCAATGCAGGGATCGAACACGCGACCTCTAGGCTAGCGAACCAGCATCTTACCAACTTAGCCATGGTGGCTCGGCATCATTAACTGTTATATAAATATATGTAATATAAATAAAAGTCCAATTGGTCCGAATTGGTCTAATTAAATCACTGTGACACTATCCTGTGTCGCGGTACCAAAAAGGAATTAGATGTGATACTATCCTGTGTCTCGGCAACCAAAAAGGAATTAGATGTGACACTATGGGGACAGATGATCGTCTAGGGCCTGCTTGGACTTCACGTTGTTGAATGAATTATTTCAATCATCAATTAATTGACTCTGGAACACCGTTTATGTTGTTACTCAGTTTATCTAACGAATACAGCAAACTACAAAGGTTACATACACGAAACTACAATATCTATAACAGTTATTAAATTATCCACGGTCTGAGTTTAATATCCTTTCTAACTCAGACCTAACGGCTTAAACGTGATAAAAGCCACATACTTCTTTTATAGTTCTACATAAGGTTCGCGCTAGGATGATGTGTTCACCCTAGCCTCTAATCCGAGGAGGTTATAGGTATGTTCCCCTTTGAGCTCCGAATGATTGTCTGAAGGTAAATCAAACCCGCTCTTTCCTACAATGTAATGCGCCATCTATTAGGGCGGGACAATTACCATTTTTGGGTAAGTGTTTCATATAGGCACCGTTTAACGTCAACATTATTCTATTTAATTGGACTAATCCGTGCACGAGATGACTGGACGATAGTACCCTACTTTCCAGAAAAGGATACTGACACAACTGGGGGTGAGTTAGTCTAAGTAAGTTAGTAGTAGGATGATGCAAGTTACTTCATTACCCTAGTTTTCGTCATACATCATGTAGGTAAAGATTTCTATATTTAAAAACAACACTTTTCTTAGACCTAAAATAACCCTACAGTGTTATATCACGTCATAACATCATTAACTGTTACATAAATAAATGTAATGAATCCCCATAAAATCAAAATCAAAACACTGAAGTAAAAATTGCATAATACATATCAAAACTCATTCATCCATGCTTTTTACTTTTTTCAACATATAATAGAAGCATTAAAATTAATCTACATATGATACTTAAAAATAATGTACATACTTAAAAATGAAAATAATGTATATATTTAATACACTACCGATATATATAATAATATTTAACAATTAAATGTAGGCTACAATAGACCATTTACAATGAAAAGCACACTTACTGAAAAAAAAACCACTGAACCAGAAATTCAAAGCTATTTTCTAATTACAAATAACCATTTTATATAACTATCTGGTGATTACAAAATAATGATTTTATATAACTATCTTGTGATTAGGCCTACAAGCTACCTTTCATGTTTAATTACAAGATACGGAGAAGTCCATTAGTTTATTTCAAGGTCGCCCTACACTGATTTATTGGATAGCTAGGTCAACGAAATACTTTTTTATGTTACGGGATCGGCACTTTCAGGTCATGCCCCCATTAATATCATTCGTTATTTCATGCCCCCATTAAAAACCATTCATTAAGTTCATACTCTCATTAAAGCGATAATTGCACATTTTCTAAGAACGTCAAAACATTATTATTTCTATATCTATTACTTTATAGGTTGTCAAATCACTACTATGCAATCAAAGGAATCATTCTAGCACTCACCGAAAGTTTGAAATAATTTCTCCTCGCGGACAGTATTTGGAAATTGTATCATTTCTTTTCACTGGAAAACTTAGTCTACATAATGTAAGATTGTCAAGGTCCGTGGTTAAACAGATAATGATAATGATGCCTGGTTGAGCGAGACGAGACATTTCAACCAGCATACTTGATAATAACACTTTAAAAAGCAACGTTGGATTTGAAAAGAAAATGATATATCTGCCAATTTCTCAACGCACACAAGTGAATTATAGGATTTAGGATTATTTTTAACAAGGTAGGACTGTGTGTATAGATGCCATGTATGTGAAGGCTTTATTTTAACATGTTTTAAAAATATAATTGAAAAAAAATGCAATTATTGCTTTAACTTCATAGTCCGACCAACTTCATTGATATCATTTATCAATTATTCATTGATTTCATGCTCTCCTTAAAGCCATGGAACGCCATTTACAAGATAATTTGAATTTTTTTTTCATTTGATTGACCCTAATGATCTTCCATAGAGATCCGTGAAAGTCAATTTCATTTTATGAGTAGATTATTTTCTGCTGATTTTATATTTTTGTATATCATAATTATTCCTATGGCCTAATGAAATGTGGGCACCTTGAAGTCTTTTGCGCGACCAGGGACGTTACCGTTTACTATTCTTTGAAAATACATCTTATTGCTAGGGGAATTTGAGTAGTAAAGTAGTCTACAAGATAGAAATATTCCCCGTTCAAATGTTAAAAATACATAGCGAGATTATATTGGAGTTTGTACTGTATATAACGATCTAACTAACAATCTAATTAAAATACATGTTATTTTCGTTCCGTTTAGAACAACGCGTTTGCTTTGACCTGAATTTTCTGCAACCAAGGTTTTCATTGAAAGGGTTTTCTATAAAGTCGACCAAATACGATTTTGACATTATGTAACATTCACTCTAAAGGAATGTCTACACTGTAGAGCAAGACAAAATTTATCTGCGATGTCACCAATAAGGAAGCGGCGTTAAACCACTTATCGGGAAATAAACGGAATGAAATTTTGGTACCGGTACACTTTTTATTGAATTGCCAACTAATGTGACGCAAGAAAAATAAGTACAGCTGAGATGATTGAAAGGCCGAGTACAACAAGACTATTAAATCGATTAACATCCGAAGAGCCGATTTGTTCCCGAACTAAGTGGTCTGTACAATTGTTAACTAGGCCTTCCTGGTATTTTTGTTCAACATTTGAAGTTTCATTTTCCGGTTGATTATTTGCGAATTTTTGTTTTTGTTGTTTTTTCTTTTCATCTGTTTTATTACGAAGCCCACCTTGATTTTGAAATTTGACGCCTTCACTATGTGTTGCGAAGATCCCTTTATTAGACGCTCCCGTTGCAATATTTTTCATTAGTAGAACAGGGTCGTCTATAAGATCCCGCCAAAATATTTTCACGTCTGTTGACGTTTGTTTTAACGGGTCGTCGAAATTTGGGTAGAGAGCGATTATGTCATATAACGTATGTTTTTTGCACGTTAAAGATAAGAATTTACTGTAAAAGGACAGTTGATTACATATGTCTGCCATTTTTCGACACACAGGGCTGCAATTGGTAAACTGTGTAGAACAATCTTTAGAAGCAGTAAACAAAAAACACGATAATTCTATAGTTCTTTCATCTTGCGATGCTTGTTTTTTTTTATGGCGACGACCCCTGTTTAATTTACCTGTAAATAAACATACTATTCTAGAACACGTTCGGGTCTGGTTATATCTAGGTTAGGCAATTCTGGAAATGCAGTGGCAATGGTAACATGCCTGTCTCAGGGTAGTCAACATTTAATTGAACCTATTAGTAGAGACATTTCCCCTTTTCCACCCTTCAAAGAGAAAAAGTGGTTGTTTTACACTAATTACAAATTGAGATTTTCATACAGACATTGTGTAATTTGTACGGGCAATCCGCGAATTGTGTAATTAGAAATACATGCCAACACTAGTCTCGATTAACCAACACCCTGTACAACAAACCATGGATGTACGTAAGCCGTTCCATATCATCGAATCGATTGCCAGTCAACAAACAACCGTTTGTTTTAGCGGTTAAACAAAAACTATGTTAAATCTTTAAATGACATGTAATTATTGCGAAATGAATAACAATCTGGAGATTCGGGGTTCAAAGTCGAGACTTTAGCAATCTTATAGATATTCTGCTCTTGTTTTATGTGTAACACCCCCCACCCCACCTCGCCTCCTATATCTACTGTTACGGGCTACCTGCATATGCCCAAGCATGTAAATATTTAAAGTGATACTTAAATTTCCTTTTGTTTTCTCCAATATATTTTGGGGATGTAAAATCTGAAATAACGCACCTGTTCTGACAGTTCTTTTATCTGAAGTACGAACAGAAGAGATGGCGTGTTGCATCCTGCTTGTATATCTGTGGAACAGTTTACCATTGAAGACCCTCGACATTACATAGTCTGTTATTTTTAAGGGATTTTCTGCAAGACTTTCCCATTTTACGATGGCCTTATTATAAACTACAGGTTGCTTTCGAAGAAATGTCACTATTTCTGATAAGGTATTGTTCTGACAGGTTGCAATAAAGAATTTACCACCAATTGAACATTCACACGCTTTACTGAATTCATCACACACGTGACCACAACCATTCAGTAAGTTGGAACATCTTTGGAGCATGGTAAAAATGGAACAGGCTACTTCAGTAACATCTGAGTTATCACGTGGTTTTAAACTGCCTGAAAATAAATTGATATCCCGTTTATATATTTGCACATCATCAACATTCTTAAGCTACTATAGGCGCGAGATAATAACAGCTATCGTTCTAATTGGCTGAATGTTGAAGAGGCTCAATAAGGATGGAAATTTAATGGGGTTTGAAATCTCGTCACCACTCGGTCATTTTGAGACTTGCAATATATAGTACTTGTCATGCCTGTGGTTACCCGTGCAATGCGAGTACAGGACTCGTCATTTCTGTGGTCCATTCGAACGACTATAGGTACACTTTTCTTTTCGGAATTCGAACCTTGGACATTCTGTTTGAGAAGCTATGCTCTGACACTCGACTACCACGGGTTAAAATGTGGCTCTGCTCTGGCATATCGATGATTGTAATTAGCTATTTAGATAAACACCAAAACTAGGTCGGATGCAGTACTTGTTTTTGATGGAGGGGGGGGGGTGCATATACTATAATGTACCCCTTTTTATACGCCCATATTTTCATGTGGACGTATATGTCTACAGGTCACAATTTGTATCCGATGTTGACGAAACTTGAAATACAGGTTTATATCCTAAAGATCTCGATTGCTGTTGATATAGGCATGTATCAGATCATTATTTCATGGAGTATTGGCTCCTGATTGTACGAAAACATTTTTTTTAGCTTGTGGACACTCTGAGGGTCACAATGTTTATCGGATTTTGATGAAACTTAAAGTGTATGTTTATAACGCACTGATCTCATTCCTGTCAATACTGACGCATGTCGTACCGTAACGTCTTGATTGTACGAAAAATCAAGTATTTTAGCTTGTTCTCTCTGTCCCTCTCTTGCAAAACGTGGTCGTATCTTGCATGGTAACCGCTTGTTATATCTACATAGGACAAAGTTGTGAGGAATACGGAGTTACTGGTTTCGACCAGGATCCTTTAGCCTTTATCAAGCAAATAACATAGATTAGAGGATGCATAAACAAAACTGGATCAGGTCGAAGCAACATACGCTGCGGACAAAGTTACCTTATCAGACCACACAGTCACACACTTTACATAATCCTTATAATCTCCGCACACACCACGGTCAAAATAAGATACATAATATACTATGACAACCAACACGATGTTCTGCCATATAGTACAGGAGCTATAGCAAAGATTTAATTCACATCTTGAGTAGCCTACAGAGGGTTTTAAAGTCACTGCTGGGAGCAAATTCTTGTGAACGTGGGGATCAGAATTCTGCCTGTTTTGTGAGAGTTAGTATAAGACCACGTGCATTGGAGAGGAATAATGACGACAGAATGGAATCGAGCGTTTAAGACGCTAGAAAATTTCAGATAGCAACGTATAAAATGTAATATACTGTGCTTTTAATTTATTGGGACTGGGCCTGAGAGGGAGGATGGTTATCGCCGTGAACCCCCGTCGCTACGCCACTGACGATTGACATATTTGCATATATATATATATAATCTCATATAATATACTTCCTTCTTATAGCCAACAGAAAAATCAAAATAAGTACAAACCTGTTATATTTCTACTGCATATAACATGATTATTGGTACACAAAAGTAGAATAAAAACCAACTTTGTAATATAACCCATCGCACTGAAATACAAATAATCCTTAAATAAAGCTAGATCCAAATAATCCAACGTGGAATCTTTACAATGTAGAGTTATTCCAATGCTTATACAAACCAAACATGCAGGATATTAAATTACTATCTGAATAATGTACGGATATTTGAATGACATATATCGGTTTTCAGTACTTCCGTTTCTTTACCCTTATATAATATGTGACTAATAAATGTAAACGCATATTTCCGTTGAGAGAACATTATTTATAATGTCATATTACAAATAATCTGTATCATGAAAGTCCCCCAAATATGACTCTTTCTTTAGTCCTTTGAATGGCGGACTTCAAATGATTTATTTTAAAAGTCTTTACAATTAACTTTGAAATTTATATTGTCTGTGGTGTTGTGTGCACAACTTTGGATAATGATAATGATTCAGTCTTCGACAAGTGTAGCACCATGGGTCTTCTGTCATACGTGGAGAGCGGGCGTTGAAACCGGTCGCTACATCCTACATACGACCCATGCATCTTTTCTTACTACATATTTCTGTAGCCTTGTGATCGTCTAGAATTTGTCTCTAGCTGTCTTTACTTCTGCTTCACGTTGTGTATTTACGTCTTACTGTTTTCTTAAGACGTTTGTCTTACCAGGAATAACAATGCAACAGTTCGCTTCTACATTTTATATAGCATAGCCGAATACATATATGGATACAAGCATAATATATAACAATACTAGCTAAAACCATTTCTCAGATGGAACCTCTCTGGAATCTAATGGAAGTCTAACTTAAAACTTTACTATGATTTCTTTTATAAGACCCCTGCATATCACGCACAGAAAGTCTGTTCATGACCCTGAACCTGTGCAATTAACGATATGATTGGTAACTTTAAACCAAATGATCCAATTAGAATAATTCCACTCACGTGTAATCTGGTGGTATATTATTGACACATGTTTTGGCTAAATAGCCCTTTTTATGTGTCAACTGTCAATTACAGACCAAGTTGATTTAGTACACACTATATATAATATATATGTGAATGTGTGTGAAACTATTAATTTGCCAAATATATTAATTAATGAAATATAAAGTCATATTATTTCTCTATTCTTTGTCTATAAATTTAAAAACAATGTCGCAACGACGATAGTGCTACACAAGTGCTGCTTGTTATATAATGTATTTCCGGGACGAAATCTTAGAAAAAATTCTCCCAGACTTCAGAACATTTGAAGTTTAAAAAACCAAAGAAAAGTGACGTACGAACTACGTGGTTTCCCTGGTTGAACATGTCACTGGGACCCTTGCATCAACAGTGAAAAAGAGGACATGTTCGTCACACTCACACACATGCAATTTGTATGTCAATATGGTAGATTTAAAACTAATTTTGGGACTCCCTTTAATATTGGGGGTCTTTGGCTGCAGCCTGGTTGGCGAAAGGAGAAGGCCGGAATAAAGGAGCGGGGGGGGGGGGGGGCACCCAATCTGATTAAAACACAGATCCTATTTCGTTTCTTTTTTTATAGTTCAAAATTTCGTTTTACTTGTCTTTACTACACTTGGATCTGGAAGAGTTGTTATATAACCCTCGTTCTCGTTGATGTGAGGGATTAGCCAATGAAACGGTATGTTACAACCAACTCTTGGCGTGCGGTGCACGGAACTATGGGTATCCCACTTAAACATTAACGCTGCTTGGTTAATCAATGTCTGACATCATAGGGTCAAAAGCAGTTCGCATGATCCCCTACGCGACGGGGCAGATATTAATGTAGTGGAAGCCATCGAAAGTATAAAAAAACATGAAACGAAATATAGATCCTTATTTTAATCAGACTGGTTAGTCCCCCCACCCTTATTCCGACCCTTCTCCTTTCGCCAACCAGAAAGGTTAGGGAAAGAGTCAGACATTTCGGAATATATATTACATAGAAAATGATATGTTCACTGTTATTTTAAATGTGATATATTATATAAATTATAGCCTAAGTGTCAGAATCCCAGGCCATAGATAATGATGTTAAACTCAGGGGTTCGAATTAATTTTATCCTTTCTTGAACATTTTACATCTACAGACAAAACTAGTGTCAAGGTATCAAAACAACCCAATTCAATACCTTATTTATACTAGAATCAAATAGATTTGACTCCTGTTATGTTTTCTTGTTTTTCAAGTTTAATTAACGACAATCATTTGCGACACTCGGCCCAGACCGATAAATTGAACATAGATTTAATTAAAGTGCTAATTAACCCCGAGTTTTATAACAGCCAATGATTTGTCTATAAACTGCGATGTTTTAAAGCAATCTAATTAAAATATAGATCTATATTTCGTTTCGTTTTTTATACTTTCGATGGCTTACACTACATGTGTAGTAAAGACAAGTAAAATCGAAATTTTGAACTATAAAAACGAAACGAAATTGGATCTGTGTTTTAATCAGATTGGTTTTAAAGTAAAGCGGATGTTGATTCTTGACTGATATTTATACAATAAACGGAATACTTGATATCACACCCATAATGACAACAGCTACAATTCACACGATAACCAAGTAAACGAGCAATCCGAATTAAGATAGCGTATTGTTGTAATATTGTTATACAGCTACCAAACTATCAACACGTCGCTACTACAGCTCGTCTACTTGAGTGTTTGGTGGTTCAACCTAGTATGTCACTAAATATTACATTGGCGTCGCCGTAAATTCACTCGTCTACGACTACGATTGAATATTGGTTTATCGACTGAAGAAAGTGCTGATTCAGCAATTTCAAGTAGGTCGAGTCAATCAGGTGTGTTGTAAATTTCACGCTTGAAAACTAGGTCATAGCTTTCAGGGATTTCTGAAGGTCCAACAAGAAGAAAGAAGAGTAAATAAACGACATTTCAATAACAACATTAAAGATTACAGCATAAATCCATTGTTACAGATAATTACAGTATTATTCTTTGTTTCACGTAAACGAAGAAAAGTGGTCACGTGAGTTGTTGTCATTCGCGACAGCTTAGTTACAGAGATGAGCAATCTGATTAAAATACAGATCTATATTTCGTTTCGTTTTTTTTATACTGTAGTAAAGACAAGTAAAACGAAATTTTGAACTATAAAAACGAAACGAAATAGGATCTGTGTTTTAACCAGATTGAGAGATGAGTGACCGTAGCTGGGTCTCATGTTACACCAGCGCAGAAATAAGCATCCAACAATGTAAAAATCAGATCTCTGCCACTTGGTTAGTTTGGGGTACTGATCGTTTGGTTGCTGGTTGCAGGTCTTTGTGGCATAAAATTATCAGGTTCGTGCTTGGTGGTGTTGGGTATGTCATTGGTTCACCCTACAAGACTGAACCGCGTATGAAGTTGCCACCTCCTTGGAAGGATCCTTATCTTGGTATTGCTGCAAACCTCACATTGTATCGGTTGGATGACAGTATGTCATTGATTCGCCCTACAAGACTGAACAGCGTATGAAGTTGCCACCTCCTTGGGAGGATCCTTATCTTGGTATTGCTGCAAACCTCACATTGTATCGGTTGGATGCCAGTAAACAACAAATAGTTACCCACCGTGATCGGATCAAGAAAAGCTTGAATGACTTTCCATTATGGTTGGAGCGACACAGTTGACACAGACATTCATTTCCAGATCTAGAAACTGGTGTTGTTTCGCCCTGTCTGGAGTCTATTCACTTGGAATCAATGATGTTCTGGAAGTTAACAGGCTTACAGTTGATGAATTGGTTCCAGCTGATTCATTCCTTGGGCAAGGCATTGCGGGATGTTTTTACTCTGACCTGAAGTGTTCGCCAGAAGTTTGAATGATTTTACTGTGTAGATAGTGTTCAGTTTTATTGTACATACTGATTTTAACACGATGTTTGGTACCTGTATGAGGTTCCCTGACGTGTTTTAAGATTCCCTCCTGTACCCTTATCCGTGACCAAGTGCCAACAAAACGGGGAGGAATGTTGTAAATGGTTTTTTTATAAAGGTCACGTGATTAGTGTGACGTAACTGATGTTAAACAAGTCAATTATTATACAGCTACAAAACTATCAACACGTCGCTACTACTTGAGTGTTTGGTGGTATCAACATAGTAAGTCACGAAATATTACAGTATTCAGAACTTTGGTCTAAAGAGAGTTCACAAGGATAGTGAATTTTGCCCACAGAGCCAACGCCAATGTGTACACGAGGGTACATAGTCTACCTCGTGTTTTCGTCTCAGGTAAACACGTGACTTTCATCAATGATGTTTTTGTTAATATTTTCTAGTTTTCATATCAAATGTTACAGTTTTTTGCTTCGTGAGGGGTTGGTCGGTACAGTAGTATATGTGTCTAAAATTGGCGGCAAAGTTGACGCGCATAAGATGTCTTTTTCGCTCTGAGCGGGTGCAATGCCTAAAAATGGAGAATTTATGAGACCCAATTTTTGCAGGGAATGTGGCCGTTGAGGTCTAAATTGTAATTTGGGAAAGAATTAACGTGGTGTTTGAAATCAGTCTTTACAAAATGGTAAACTCCAATGTATGAATTACTCACCATGAAACTAACATTTTATTTTGGACGCTTGCTCTTGGTGTTGGCATCTTAAAACAATTTCCAGAACCATGACACCATTTCCAAGCATGGAAGATCCACAGTTTAACATAATCATATTGAAGTATATACAATTTGTTATCGAATGAAATCATACAAAAGTAACTTCCATTTTGCATTATTGTAAGACGATAATTAGTTTATTACGAAAAATTGGAAGGCTTATTTGGATTCAAAAGAAGTTGTGAAATTTGAAAATTTAAATGAATCCCTTGATAACAAGGGATTCAATAAATCAAGTTTTAGGAAAGGTTGCGAAAGATATTTTTGTATCCCAAAAAGCAAGTAGTTGTCCAAGTGGCATCATATACACTTACATAGAGCTGTACAGTGCTATAAATGCTACAAATCTAAAAGTTAATCATCATGTATATCAACATTATCACATTTCCCGTCCATT